TAACACAACAGAGCAAATGACACGACCAAAAAGTGCAACCTTGAGATATTCAGGAACACAAGGATTCATGCCGACTAACATCATTATCTTTCAGTGTGTGTGGGCGTGAGGGTTTGATGTGTGTGTTTTTGTTTTGCAGCAAAAAGAAGCTGTGTGCTCTTTATGGGAAGTGGACAGAGTGCCTCTATGTTGTGGACCCTGCCGCCTTCGAAGCACATAAGAAAAACGACAAGAAAGCAGGGGAGAAAAAAAGCAGCAAAGCGGTACGAGCTGCTTCCTTCCGAACAGCAGGGATTCACATCAGTCTAACATTGTTATTCATCATGGGAACAATGCAGTTTGATAGAAAATATCAGGTTTTTACAAGACAGATAGATTGAGGATATCATGAGCTCTTTGCTAAACTCCATAATTAAGTTTTTTCTATCAATAAACACTGTAATATTACATCTTTCAGAGAGCATGATTAATATGTAGACCTCGCAGTGCAGCATGATATGGGTTTGTCACTTGTGGTGTGGTGCAGGGTTGCAGTGAGGATCAGGAAGAGGTTCCCTCTCCAGCTGCAGACACCGTGGAGATGATCCCTGGCAGCCAGCTGCTGTGGAGAATCGCACCCAGGCCGGCCAACTCTGTCGAGGTCTCACCGATGAATTAACACTATGAGCTTTAATTAGAGCGCAGTCTCAAAATAGGCATGTGTTTTAGTGTTTGAAATGTTCCAATATACCAAATTGGTCTTCATCTGCAGATGTACAGCTTCACTTCCTTTGCAATGCAACTGAACGAGCTGCACAAGGAGATGGAGGGACTGATCCCCCAGACCGACTGCAGGCTGAGGCCAGACATCAGAGCCATGGAGAACGGTGACATTGGTAATTATTAGTGGTATCACAATGGTACTGTAGATACAATAAATATACTCTCCCTTTTAATCTGAAACTTTACAATGTTGTTATCCCAATAGACCTAGCCAGTGAGGAGAAGAAAAGGCTGGAGGACAAACAGCGAGCCGCTCGCAAAAACCGCTCCAAATCTGATGAAGAGTGGAAGACGAGGTGAGTGTGATGATGCAGCTTCACAACTCAAAGTGTTCCTCTCCCTTAAGTAGTCAGCTAATGTACGCAGGAAGTTTTCAAAGTGACATTAATCTCATTGTAGTAATTTTTCATGAAAAGAAAAACCTATTCCAGGCCTTCATCCGGTGCATAAAATGGCAATAATTGATACAGTATTTAATATGAATAAAGAATCCATCTGGATTGTCCTCTGTTCAATCTGCTTAAATAAAGTGGAATTCATATTTTGTATTAACTCCACAAGACGTTTCTGTCTTTAAAGGAAACGTTTTGAGAAACACACTTATCCTGACGCTGATTACCTTTTTTTTCATATAAATGTTGCAATGCTATTGACTCTATTTTGTTTAATGAACATTTAACTGTTGATCATTAAGATTAATTTAGTTCTGTTTTAATGTATTACGATAAGACTACACATTTAACTCCAAAACTATGTGAAACTATGTTTGTGTGAACATTGTAAGCTTAGATTGTGCTGTGTTTATTTGTGCCAGCGTTGTTTCCATTTGTATTTACTTTATACGGACTTTTCATTGTGGACATACAGCCTCTGTTTTAAGTGCTGCAATTTCATTATCCTTTTCTGTACTCTTTCTGGTGCTTTGAAATGCTTTGGCTAAATCTTCATTTTATCTTCATCTGACTTGTTATTCTGTTGCATCTCTCTCTGACGTTAAGGATTCCTGCCCTGGGCCCAAGGTTAGAGCTTCCGCTGTGTGTGTGATGTGCCTGAAATGTGTCTGAGATGTGATATGATCATGCGAGCTTGCCGCCTCAGAGTTTCAAAATGCCTCTTATATCTGAATTTGAATCTAATCTACATAACTGTGTCCTGCTTTCCACTGCAATATGAGAGAATATCAGTGACATTTTATTAATCTGCTCTCCCTTCCAACAGCATGAAAGCTTTATTTAAAATACTCCAACACCAAAGGAGTCCTTTCTCCCAAATCATGTCTCTCACTGCTTCTATACTTCAAAGATAAAACAATAAAACATTCATTTTAGTCCAAAACAAACAACATAAACGGACAACTTCCATGCAAATTACCCATAACCTTGTGATGAAGCATGCCTGCCCTTCCTTCCTCAATTTCCCTGATTTGTTTGAGTTATGATTCTCTGGTTGGTGTCAGTTGGAAGTGTTTAGTTTAATGGAGCTCAAACTGAATGCTGATGTATCTCTGTTGGTTTTCAGGTGGTTTCAGCAGGGGCAAAACCCCCACAATAACTCCCAGGACTGGCTCTTTTGTGCTGGATACTGGGACAGGAAATACAGCCAGCTGCCAGACATTTACTAATGGACACTTCATGCCGAAATTAACCATACAGTGAACTTTATACAGAGCAGCATTAATCTTTTTTTTAAATGGAATAATAACTACAAACAATATGCAATCAGTGTACTTTAACTGTGTGGCCTTAATCTACTTCATGCTGGTAAGATTGTGCATCAAAATGTCAATAATCCATATTTAAAAGTGATGAAATGTAAAGTTGTTTGACAATGCGTTGAAATGTAGGATTTGTATTTAGAGTGAGCCCAGTTTGTTTCTGCTCATAATGGACTTTTAGCAAAGCAGAACGTTGCGGATGCACAGGGGTTCATGGTTTTATCTGTTTTCTTTTAAATGTTCAGTGTCTTGACTCTAAATGTATATCTGTATATATACTACACCACCAGTGACCTCATCATGTCGTTCACTCACCAAACCACTACCAGTCAGAAAACATAAGGTTGATGTGGATGCTGTTTCTCCTGATGTGCTTTGCCTTGTAAAAAACTGTATTATACAACCGCTAGGATAAAGTTGAGTTGGTCACATCATGTAGAAGAAACTGTTAGATTTCAAGGCGTTTCTGCCTCCTTGTATAGAGCATTGGAAGTATTTTTTTTGGGAAACCTAAATAAATCAATTCAATGTATCGAGTATGTTTTTACAATTTATGTGAAGTACGCTTGGGATGCAAGACAAAGGTCAGAGTCAAAATCTATAGCACTTCAGAGATGACCATTCATGTGCATAACAATAGAGTGGAATAAATTACAGTAACTGCATTGGTTGTTATATGCAGTAAGAAGCTACATAAGTGAAAAAGCCAGTGGTGTCTGTTCAGGGGAAAGAAAGGTAAGCTAAAAAAAAATGTTTTCCAGGGAATGAAAGAGATAAAGAAAAGCAAAGTATTTGTGTGAATTGAGGTGGGATTTGCATGTGAATGGGGAGAAAATTATATCTCACATAGCCATCATATCCATTAGGATAATAAACAGAAAGAAAGGATCACACAAAGGGTTGAAAATCCAGGGCGGCCAGGAATAATGGAAATGTTACAAGGACTTTTGGGAGATAAAATAATAAAAGACTGTTATTTGAAATGTATAAATGCAATTTGTGTTTGGGTCAAAACAGCTTATGGAAAAAATGTATTGTAAAAATAAGCATTTTCAAATTAACCATGTTTACTAGACATGGGCTTTATTTCAACTCACACTAACATAATGTCTTTTATTATTTATTTAATTAATGTTAAACTATTTACACATTTGAAGTTGATTTGTGTTCAGTAATAAGATCGTATTTTACAATATTGGGACATTTTGTTGGGTGACACCAAAAATCTGGATTTAATTACTTAATTATTGCTTTGTTTTTCAGCAGGGCAGTTTCAGTTTTTTCAAGAAAGACTAATGAGACAGTACCTTCTGTTCTTTTTCACGCCTGGTAAGTTAAAAACGGACACAAATCTGATCGAGAAGTTAATGAAGTCGTTGTTGTAAGCTGTCTTGTACATGTGTTTCAATTATCACCCATTTAGTTCAGTTCAGGGTCACAGAAGACTACTGCCTTACTGAGCATGGCACATAAGGTAGAGCACTCCATCTAATGGTCAAAATAAAAAATGCAGATTGAATTGTATTCCTGTTAGAAACGCAATAATCATCTTAAACCCAAAATATGTGATATTCTTTGGTTTGGCTATGGAATGACTGAAACATTTTTGCCTTTTCATAATTTAATTAAAAAACAAAGGCCAGTATTGCCCAAGTGTGTTCAGTAGTATAACTTGGCTTTGTGTCGCTATGTGGTGTGGTAAAGAACCTCATGCAGGCTCTCATGTCTCTGTACATGTATTGTTATTTGGTATGGAAAGAGGTTGATATAAAAATATAATGAAATAACCATCATGTATTACTGTACCTTTCATACAGCTTATATGGTTTGGTTGTGCACATCAAATTGTATCAGATAATTGCCAAATAGACAAATCTGGCTAATATTGATAACACAAAGGGTTAGTTAAAAGGCTAACTTAGTGTTTTTATTGTGATTCTTAAATGAATTCGTTCTAAGGACAGTTTTATAGCTACATTCTTCGTAAATTGCAGTAACTGTTTCTACCCTTCAAGTAGATTCAGAGCATCTTTCCAAACATTTTCCCCAAATCTATCATATTCATATACCATCCAATCATTGCTATGTTTTATGTTCATGTTAAAATGCAAACACAATACTATACAACTGCCTAACAAATACTCATTTTATAATTTAAAAGCCAAGAGATCGTTTTAAACCAAATCATTGCTCAACAGGTGCAGCAACAGTAGCAAAGGGGGGCTTGTCTCATCAAAGAGGATTTTAAATGAAGTTGAATTTGTGATGATGAAAAACTGCTGTGGTGTTAGATAAGTTGGCGTGTTACCCATTCATTTAATCGTTTATTTGGCAGGGACAATGCACAGTAATGAACACTTAAAACAGTCTAATGTGTTAAGCGTAACAGTGCCAGATTTAGCTTTGAGCTAATTTCCAGCCGCAGTCCCTTACATAAAACATTTAAGAAAATTACATTTTACAAACATAGCAAAAACAAAATACATGATATGCAAAAAGTGCAAAATGCATTAATTACAAGTCCTTATTCTTTAGGACATCTATTAATGCTGACAGGGTCAACCACCCTGGATCCCTTCTCAAATGCTACAGGTCTTCTATTCAGCTTCACATTTCGTAAGCAGCCCACAAACGGTGAGGGTACGGGGACTCCCTTCTGCTTTGTGGTCCCTGAATGGAGAAAAAATAAAATCAGAAACCCACATTACGTTTAGCTGACTCTTGTATCCAAAGCGACGTTAAATAAGTGCAATAAACCACAAACAAAAAACAATCAAATCTTAATTCAAATAAAAATGCAATGACAACAGTTGAACTGATTTCCCATTTATTCAAGCAATATTAAAGAAAATAAGTTCGATAATGATTTGACATGCAGTTGAATGAGTACAATGGTCGAATAAAACCAAATATTGTAAAAAAATATCCGGTGAGTTATTTGTTGATTTACCTCCGATGTAAAATGTATCCAGTCCTGTGTAGCCGGATGTGAAGAAGACATTCTTCTGCTCAGACATGGAGTCCATCTGCAGTTTGATAATGTCACGTTTCCTGGACACTGGAGAACAGTAGCATGAGAATCTTAAATTAATAGCTACTCGTGTATCATCACGTTTTTGTAAGGTTGTCAGCATGAGAAGGCATACACTACCTGTTATCACGTGAAACTTTCCATCACAGAGGCTTTGTGGAGGAGTCACTGAGACACTGACAGCACTGTTAGCATCATTTAACTTTACACCCACCTGGTGAAAGATTAAAGTCATATTGTTTGAATGCAGTTGTTCTTGCTAATTCCCTCCTGATCAGCTGGGATTGGTTATTCTAAAAAGGCTTTACCTTGTTTTCCTTTAAGAAGACATTTAGGCTGGTCTTGTGACTTTGAACGTGGAAGAGGAGACCTGTCAGATATTGAGGCCGCAGCTCAAAAGCCAACACAAACTGAGAGCCAGCGTTGAAGTAATTCTCTAAAATAGAAATATTCCTTATTAGATATGAAGTCAGTGTTATGTGTGAGTTAAATTCATACACCAACAAGAGGTAAATTCAGCAGGCACCATGAAGTTTGACAAACCAAAGGCGATATGACCACCACCAAAGTATGTCCCCATCTCTGTGAGCCCATCCAAGCAGGGTAGAGTTTTGTAGCTTCCTTTAGGCTCACCGATAGCTACGTCATTCATTTTGAAATCCCGTATACAACCGATAACACTGTTTATGGTAATGTTGTGTCCCTGAGGGAGAACAGAAAGAGATAAAGGAAAGAAGGTCAACAAATAAGGGAAAAATGGCTGTCTAACAGTCAATCAGTGACTCAGAGGTGTAATACAAACCTTTGTATATCCCTTGATATCCCCTCCCAGATACACAGGGTTGTGAAAGTCTAAAGACGATCCTTCATTGTTTGGCAGGTGTCCATCAGTCACACGGATCCCATCGACAAGCAGATGAAAAGAGCTCTTCTCCACACTGAACTCCACCTGTCACACAGGTAACATGACCCAACAAAAGTTATTCCCCTAAAGATGCCAAACTGATTTTAATTCACAATAAGTTTAAACTTTTAGCAAAAACATAACTAGACAACAAGGGCCGTCAAGCTTTGGACTCCTTCATGTTGAAAATATTTGAAGGTGGTGTGTGAGTGTACTCTGATAGACATTCATACAAAGACTTCTTTTATTATAATAACACAAAGCCATCATGCATATTTTGGATCATTTTTGCAGTGTTGGTTTCAAAAGCAAATCATCTGGAAGCAATGTAAACTCAGCTAGGGAAATGTTAACTCATCTAGTTCAAGCATTAGCTCATCATATAACTACAGCTAATATAATTTGCAAGAGACAGGAAATGTAGACTTCTGTTGTGCAAAAATGAAGACCTAAAATTACTGCAAATGGTGAGTGGTATATTTAGCTCCATTGTAAGCTATGTGTGAGACTGGAAAGTGTTATAGGCTTAGCAACAAAAAAGCCAATTACTCTGTGCCAGTCCCCGTCGCTGCTCTTCTGCTTGTGCTGGATGATTCTGTTTTGCCCGAGGGACATCTTGATCTTGCCATTGGCCATGTAAAGAGCCAGCAGGGGGATGACTCCTCTCCCTGCTGCATGGAGAATCAGCCCTTTGGACAGCTTCGTCTTTACGTCAAGAGAGAAATGAGGCCTGAGACACAAGAGTGAGCTCTCTGTTAATATGAAAGATTAAATAGATAGATAGATTTAAAAGTGTATTAAGGGAGGTTTTATTTGACAACATACCCAAAAGTACACCAAACCAAAACTATAAAATACCCGACCAACACTCATAATTTCCACATCTTCAGAAAGTTAGTTTATTGTTTGTACAACTGCATTACCTGTGATTGAGGTCCTGTTGTGGCAGGATGTAACTGAGCCAGCTGTGCTTCTCATAGAGATGGTACTCTGCATGTTGTGCTTGCCGATGTTTACACTGGCTGCCTGCAGGAGCCTGAATTTGACACATCGCAGAGAAATGCATCACTATTTAATTATATGAGCAGTGGGGTAATTATCATGGTGCTGTAGTAATAATGGCTTCTGTGCTTTCATGGCCTTTTACAACACAGGGGCTGGTAAAAGTGTGTGTGGCGGCAGATATAAACGGCAAAGGCCAAGGACTATGGTAACCTTTTGTGAAAATGAGCTTAGATAAGATAGCTCTGTTCACAGCTAAATAAACATAAATGCTTTTATGTCTTCCTGGTTACTTTTAGCTTTATGTGTCCATTTACTTTGAAAGTGTTGCAAACTAGGAGTCGAGGTTGAAATTATTGTTGCAGATATGGATTTGTGAGAAGATCTTTTGTTGTTGATTTTGCAGATTTTGTCAAACCTGCAATCACATGTTTGGCATATAAACTGATCTGACTTGTTTGACTTAGGGTAGTTATTGTTCAATGGCATTTAAACATTTTCTTGTTTAAAATAGCTGCCTAACACACAGTTGTCGGAAGCGAAAACAATAGGGCAATAGATGGTTACAAGTTTTGTAGAGCAGCTGTTGACTACAGAGTCAGGTGATTGTCTCTGTAGATTAATCACTATGAGAAACACATTTATAGCAGCTTTAAGCTACTGCTGGCAAGAAACCAAAAGTTGAAAAAAAAACGTTACCCTGTGAAGAAAGTGTCTTGTCTCCTTTATAACATCCTTGATTCTCCTGATGCTTTCTGTCATGTTGGCACCAGGAAGCCTCTTCCCGCTGAGAGCCTCAACATCTGTGATTTTGTCCTTTAACACAGGGAGGGCTGTGTTCAAGTTCTTCACTGAACAATCACAGAAAACAAACATAACTCAATGAGATTATTTCAGCTAGATTTCAGTTTAGCAAGATTACATTTATGAAAGCAATATAATTAATAATGTGTCTTTTTTCTGCCATTGAATACTCACATGTCTGGTCTGAATCAACCAAAATATCGTCAATATTCACACTGACATTGGTCAAAGTTAGTTTCTGCACTTCCTGGCTGATGTTCCTGAGTCTCTGTGTTATTTTACTGACTGTGGAGTTAGAGGCAGACGCAGCGTTTTTTGCAGACTCTATGGAGATGCCTGTGTCGTCTGAAATCAAAAGACCATTATAATCCGTTGTTAAGAAGGTACAGTGTGTAATATATTCTTGTCAAGTGATTCTCAAACCTTTTCTGATATTTTTGAGGTTGTCACTGACTGTAGAGATGCCCATTCGCAGTGATTCTCCTTTTTCCATCTTCTTCTTCATGCCATCTTTAAGAATGTTCATTGTCTGGGACTGCACTGTTAAAAAGAAATTAAAAAGGGTTTCAATTTTGTGAATTTAAAAGTAATAAAATGTGTAAGACTTGGTATAAATCATGCATTTCTCGCACTTTTAAGTGTCTCGTTGGCTTCTGTCCACAAATGTGTTGATTTATCTTTGAGTCCTTTGGCCATGTTGACAAGACCTGCCTCCTTTGCATCCTAATCAATAGAATCAGAATAATATCAACATTTCTGCTAATGCTATTTATATTATTTAACATTCAGTCTACATTACTAAAAGCACCTGTGTTACCTTTAGTGCACGTTCAGCCACCTCTCTGCTCTGACTTGCTGCCATCTCTGCATTGTCTTTGGCATTTATGATGCGGTTATAAGCTCCTATACCCAGTTCACTGAGCAGGTCATCACTGATGGTACTAGCATTATGAAGCAATCTGAAATGACAGTGAATTAATATCAGCAGTTGTCTTTAGTGTTAATAGTCATCTTAACACTATATTCACTTTCTTAAATTTCAAAACTTACGGTAGAAACTCTGCTGCCACTCTGCTGAGCTCCTCTGCGTGCTCCTCAGCCTTAGTAACACTGCCCATCGTGGCTTTCATTTGGAAAATGTTTTTTAACTTTTGAAAGAGTTTCCACTTGGCGCCATCTACTTCAGCTGCATGGTTTTCAAATTCCTGCAATTTTCACACAATGAAATCAGATTGCACACTAAAATAGGTGTCTGGTTATTATGCTGGTAGTTGCTGCTTACTTTCTTGGTTTCCTCAAGCATTACAAATATGTTGGTTATATTCTTTAGCAAATCTTTAGTTATTTCTGTCACAGGACGGAGACTCCTTTGTTCTGTCCCCAGCTGAGATTGAAGATGCTGACAAATGATAAACAAACATAAAAACATCAGGGACACCACTCAGCGAGGAATGTATAAGGCTACCAGTGCTAGCTATGTACCACATCACCTCCAGATGTTTTACGGCATTACGACCCCTCCTGTTGAGGGCCTGTGTCGTGTGCACTCTGTCCTCAGCATCTGACAGCAGCTCAGCCATCTCCCTCAGAGCAGAGTCTGAGACCATCAGAGACTCTGCAGTCAGATTTAATGCAGCCTGGTCTGTGGCTGACACTGAGGAAAAAAACACACTTATTATTTTACACGTCAAGGCAATCTACTCTGTTACATTGACATACATTTTCTGGGTTGTATATTATATATATGTTGGAAATGGACCAAACTGTGTTATCAACTTGTTCCTCCATTTCCATTTTTATCTTTGCTATTGTATTACCTCAGCCAATGGGACTTTTGCTAAGCTAAGCTAACCGGCTGTAGCTATACATGTATATAAAAAAGTAAAAGTGGGTTGTATCCAACTGACATTCGTAACAGAACCTTTCTGCATCCTTGTATCCATAAACTGAGCTGTCTGAACATAAGCTCTATGCCAGGAAGTAATCAATGAATCAATTTAGTTGTATCTCACATTTGTGCACGTCCTCCTGTTCTCTGCCATCTCTGTCTCTCTGAGCAGTGCAGCCTTTGTCTCTCATTTCCTGCATGATGCGCTGAGCCTCTTCCATCATCCTGGCTTTGCTGTTTTCAGAGAGAGTAGCAGCCTCTCTGGGTTTCACATCAGTTTGCTGCTTTAATAAATCTGACAGATGGCAATAACAGAAACACTGCTTTTAATGATATATCTGTTGGTCACTTTGGCATCATTATTCCGTCACACAACATCATTGATAAGTCTTTGTTCTTGCCCAACATCTACACAGGGCTGTAATGTCCCGAAAATGTAAAATGATAAACTGATGTAGGCCTACCTTGTATTGCTGCGAGAAGATCCTCTGCCTTCAACTTTGTTTCATTCACATTCTGCACAACCTTCTCCAGATCTGATACGGCTTTTAGTTTCTGAAAGGTTTATCATGAGTAAAAAGTTGTGTCAAGGCTTCTCGTATTCTTTCAGATTAGTTTTTGTACATTACTTGTTATCACTGCATCAAAAAGAAGATAGCTTATTCATTAAACTCAGCAGGACATTAGGTGGCATTGGGAGTATGCCATTGATGCATACAACTACCTCCTGCCTACATTTACAATTTAAATTCAAATAATGCAACAACAAAAGAATTCAGTTTCGTTTTGATTAACTGAGGAGAATTCACTCCAGGTACCTTGTCAGTCAGTTGACTCAATTTGTCTCCGACACTATCCACATCTGCTTCCAGCTGTTCAACCAGGTGTCTCACAGCAGTGCTGTACGTCCAAACCAGATTCTGCCACAAAGGGGAGTTAAAAGTACTTGGAAGTTGTTGCAAACTCTTCGGCAAGCACTTAATAGAAGAAGTTTTAAAGGACTGTTAATTACTACACACAACTGAAACCTGCATCCACTGTATCTCTGTTTCAGAGATGTTGTCCTGCAGGTCGTTCGGCCAGGAAATTGAAGCGGGGCCATCGGTGACGTTCTGCAGCTGCTGCTTCATCAGAGCCAGGACATCATCCAACGTCTCCAAGTCCAACAGTAAGGAGACATTACAGCTGTCACATTCTGTCATCAGACACAAGCATAGAAACACTTTACCACATTTCTGTCATTCTTCCGTGTCAAAAACATGATTGTTAGCCAGACGTCAACGCAAACTCACCATGGCAGTGAGCGCCGCTGCTGCTGTTATCAGATGCGATGCACTCTACTCAAAGAAAAGTGGATTTAATCACAATAATGCTGCAGTTTACTAGTTATGAGCTACTCATCCTGTGAACATTTTATTTTGGAGCTCACAAGTGAATTTTTTCAACATAAAATACACAACCAAAAAGATTGGTAACATTATAGAAACATCTAGGTGTATTTTTGGGAGTTTGACCCCTACTAGGGACCAAAAGGCAGGATATCTCGGCAACTTTGATTTTGTCCTCCAACGTTTTGGAAGTCAAACATAAAATCACCTTACCTTTTGAAACATAGAAACTAAAATAAATCACTACTAATGTCTCTCGGTTGGGGAGCTGTTTCTATCAAAACGTTGTCCCTAATTGTGTGAAAATTAATATTTACCTCCAGTCAGAGAATCACAGATGTTCAAGCTGCCCTTGCAATTGCAGGGCTTGCAGCTGCTTCCATGCACCATTGGGTTGCCAAAGTATCCAAACGCACATCTTAAACAGGACAAACAAATCGATTTTAAGCTTAAATAATTTTTGTTTCAGTCCTGTGCCTTGCATTGAGCATTGGAAAATAGGGAATAGGATGCAACATATTGCTGCATTGTTGGTAATCTTGAGGTGTTTATTAGCTTGTGTTGGGTGAGTGTCCGTTTTTTCACCAGCAGACACACCTCTCACATCTGTCTCCACTGTAACCATGTCTGCATACGCAATCCATCTCTCCTGAGCCAATGTCCAGGCAGGCCAGCGCAAAACTGCAAAAAGACACATTTACATCCTAATACTGATTCAGAGCAAAATCAGATGAGCCTGGTTGAGCTACGTAATGAAAAATGATCTTACTTGTTCCATATGAAGGGGCATGGACAGGCACGACAGGTCCTGTTGGCTGCGTCTCCATAGAAACCCTCTTTACAGTGCTCACAGTGGTCCCCAGTGGTGTCAAACTGGCAGTTCTGGAGGTTAAATCAAACACAAAATGAACAACATGTTTTGCCTTTGTGTTGGCCCACAACATTTAAGCTGCTTGTGCTGTAAATAAACACTTGTGTCTGTGTGTGTTTGTGTGTATGAGAGAGCACCAACCACACAGTTCCCTGTTTGCTCATCGCACTTCTTGGAGAGTCCATTGCAGCGGCATGGCACACACTGACCCCTGTATAGTCCCGCCCTCTCTCTGAAGAAGCCAGAGCTGCACTTCTGCACAGAGACAGAGAGATAAACAATAGACTGTAGGATCATCGACACACACTAACACTCACAACCCCACTCACCTATTATAATCATGCTGCAAAGTGATTAACTAAGAATATGTGAATTGTATCTTATTGATTACATATTGTATCAGATGCATTAACTCAGAAAATACATTGTCTCTAATGGTCTTAGTATGTCAGGAAGTGACATGAAGAAACACAGGATTAAGAAAGTGTGTGTTTGTCTAAGTTAGGTCTAGGGTTAAGCTTAGGATGCCATAAAAAAATAAAAACATTTTATTCGTGAGACATTATGAAATGTATGAATAAAGTGATAGTGGCATAATGTCACACCACAATATGATTCACTTTTTGAAAGGGTAGGAACAATTTCAGGTGGAACTTTGAATGATTGCTTGACATTGTTTTGCAGTCTGCCACCTAAGATCTTTATGTGGAAAATAAATATTTTAAAAAATCCAACAAAGCGCTGCATTACCTGAGTGATGGCGCCTGCTGTGTGCTTGCTGAAGGCAGGATCACAGAACTTGTTGGTGCTGTGTGTCTTCTGATAGATCTGACTGTCATGTCTACGCTTTGAGCGTTTCTCAGTAGAGTTACAAACCGGAGCAAAGCAGAGCAAAGATAACCACACTGCACTAAAAAGCAAAGATATTTTCCACTGCATTATAAAGTATTCAGTAAGCCATGTCAGTCTAGCAGTGAAAAAGCCTCCCTCTCCCTCGTAGAGCTCCTCCTCCCAGGTAAACCCTGCAGCAGGTGAACCTTGGAGCATTTTATGTTAGACTTCTGAAGAAAAGCGCGGCAGTAAATCAGGCTCAAGGTTCAGAGGGGTGCGGTTGAACTTGTAAAGAATGATGGAGCATGTATTTGAACAATAATTGGTTGAACAATGCAACATGCAGATCAATAGACAAATAGGCAACTCGTCAGAGAAAATTATTCCAAATTTTATTATTAGTCAGTCCAGAAGTTAGGATACTTAGTTGACCCAGTAGAAAACCGATCAGAAGTTGTTTAAAATGGTAGAAAACACATGCACAAAAAAAATACAAAGCACCATTTACATTTCAGACACATTCAATTTGAGGCTCAATTTAAAATTGAGTCACCCCTTATTATAGGTGTTACTGTAAACTAATATATCAAAGAGTGAGAGATGTTGCAGAATTCAAAATTGTACTTTATTTTGTATTAAATGTACCTGAGACAAAGTACATTTTGTCTCTTACAACAATAATGAATGAGTATTTAAAGCCCAATTATGAAACTTTTGTAAAATTGGATTGTGGCTATGTGGGGATCATATTTATGTTCTCCAGTTTAATCCCTTCATAATATGACGCAATGAGGAAATATCCAAAGGCTCAGCAATGTATATTTCCCAGGGTCAATAGGTTGAATCTCCCACCTTCTTTTATCAAGAACATAGGACTCTATGAAAACTAAATGAGGAACCCTCTTATGAGTATAAATTATCATATAGCTACCTTGAGCTCAAATTGAGAAGAACCATGAATCAGTGATCTGACTCTGTAATGTGTAACATTTGCTAAAATAAGCCACCATTATCTTAAACGGTTGACTAATGTGTGTGTGTCATAACTTACAAATCCACATACAAATTGGTGTGTGTAGCACGTCCCTGAGAAAAGCAAAGTGTCGGAAAGGTTCATAATGAGTTGCAGATAGAAAACATAAAAACGTGAAAGTCCAGTGGAAAAGTTCAACATTTGCAAAAAATCATCTCATCAGACTCATAGAATAGGGTACAAGGAGTAGCTCGCGATGCCACAAGTGTTACTGCCGTCTCTGACCAGCCGCATGTAGCCGCCTTCACCCCAACTGCTACCCCAACTAAAAAGAAAAAACAGTGATTGATAAAAAAGAAACACTTTTACATGTGGTATGAATAAGAAATGTAATTCTATACAATGTCAAACCAGTCATTCTGTATGTAGTTCTGACCTGTTTTTGATGATCCAGTAGTCCTGGCCTCCTTCAGAGCCGTAGCCCACCAGCAGCACCGCGTGACTCAGGTTGTTAGGGTTACAGGCGGGCTCATCATATATTCCTGCAAAGTAAAATTCAACCTGCATTCATTTATTGTTGGCCACTTGTGAGCAATGGAAATACGCTTTATAGACCATATAGTGACATATTATTGCATAAAGTTGCTGACTTACACATTCTGATCAGATACTCAGCAACATAAGAATTCATTTGGAGTCAAGTTATGAGCTAAGGTGTTGGAGGGACATATTCTGTCAAGGGTTTTCCCCCAAGAAACTCAAGAGTGTCAAGCACTTATGAGTCTGCATCAATTCATATTAGTTTCTGTCAAACTGTGCATAGTTTGTGTTTTATGGAAGACTGCAACCACTGCTTATGAGGTTGCATACTGCCACAACCAACTGCACCAGTGGATTTGTTGCGTCTATGAGTTGCGCTCCAGCAGTTTATCGAAATATCCTTTGCTCCTGTCATGTATTTATTAGGAGAGACAAATGACTGTGTTCTATATTGAGAGGAACCCCCCCAAAGTCTATGCCCACGACTAATGTTTGTGTCCACCTGATAAATGTACTTCCAATTTTCAATCTCCTTTTAGCTTAGTTTTAGTCATTTCCAATTCCTAATGATCTTGTTTTTCAGCTGCTAAATGCCAGATTCACCAGTAAATATTCGCCTTGTGTGTCCGCTGTTTGGTGCTGGTAAGGTAGTGTATGTAGCTTTATCAGTACCAAAAACAGTCAAGTTGTGGACCAAAACAAATATTTTCTGGGTTTGTCATTATATGCAACTTCTTTAACATAGACATAATGATTTGATTGAATTTTAAGTTATAAGAACATGATTACAGCTGCCTGAAATGTATTTATTGTAATCGCGAACATATAAATTGTCCAGATGGAGATTTTTAAAATGAACCTGAGCTGTAGAACAAGAAGCTTGAATGATCCGCGTCAATGGCGACTGTGATTGGGCCGATAGTTGCCACGGCATCAGCTAGAGCCTGCTCGTCTCCTTTCGGTATGAACCTGTAGTCTTTGATATGTGCCACTGCAAGTCTGCTATCGTAGTAACAGGGCTGGGTGTCCTGTTGAGAGAAGAATGCTTAAAGTTATCCTTAGGTTGAACACAGTAATAATAACTTAATGTAAATGCTCTGATGGAGGCAGAGCCAGCGGGTTGATCCTCACCACTGAGGTGTATGGGTAGGAGTTTGTCGGCAGAAGGCCGTTTTTGATCACGTAGTCATAGGCGTTGGCCATCCAGGCACCACTGCAGCCATAGGTACCATAAGATCTGGAGCAGTCCACCAGGTTCTGTTCACTCAGAGACACAAGCTGACCTGTCCTCTTGTATATTTGTCCCTCAATAGCTCCCGTGGTGCTGAAGGCCCAGCACGAGCCACAGTAACCCTGTGAATATCAATTAAAACATACTTATTTCAAGTTGTTCATGATTCTGTCTACATGAAAAACATTGAAAATGAATGAGAAATGTCTTACCTGGTCTTTCACCTCAGTGACATAGCCCATGTTTCTGTAGTCGACAACCATAGCATCTAACTTCTTAGCAGCGTTGCGCAGGCTGCGGCTCGAGACGGTCTTCCCTCTCTTCACAAATTGGGAGTCTATCACGGCACCTTGCAAAACCCGGAACTCTTGTCTAGTCTATGTACGGAGATCACAAAAACGTAGTTTCCCAATCATTCAAGTCATTGTATAAAATTTAGTTCACAATTTATCTTATTTGTTCAAGCCAAATCATTTTCCATGACACTTATTCAATTTCTTGCCAAGAGTTAGATATGAAGATAGATACCATTTCTCTGTTATCAGCCAATTAAATGGCTGTTATAAATTGTTATCTCTACCATTCTATACATTTGATTGGTGCAAATAATAGGGCAAACAGCACCTACAGTACGCTCATTATGCTTAAGGGAAAGGGAAACTTAAAGGGGACCTATCATGCAAAATGCACTTTTGTACATCTTTTATACATGAATATGTGTCCCCGGTGTTCCAGGGAACTCACCAAGTGTCAGAAAACACAACCCTCTCTATTTTCCTCAATACCCAAATCTCTAAAAAAAGGGGCTGCAACGGATCTGATACAGACTGATCCAGATTTGAACACTGTCCTGACGTCAGGACGGTGGCGCTACGGCTATTGGGCCAACTCCACCAATCAGGAGGAGACAGCCACGGCCATTGCCGTTCGAAAGCGCTGGAGACGTTGTAGTACATATGCCAGGCCTGTAGATGGTGCTGTTCTCACAGAATCAGCCCTTGCAAAAACAGAGCTAAAAAAATTCAAATTGAGCGAAATGAGGCATGGCTAAAATGCATGATCTGTTTGGTATTTTGAAAAAAAAAAAGTATAAATATGCCTTATATAGGTATGGTCCTACACTATATTATTCAAATATAGCATGATAGGTCCACTTTAACATTGCAGCTGTGGTTAAGATTGAAAATAAAAACAGTTGTTTCGATTCAGGCAACTAAACTACTTAGCGTTAAGGAAAGGATTGTAATTTGGGTTGAAAATAAAGATGTTTGTTAAGTGACATAACTTAAAATATGTTGAGTTGTTTGGCAATAAAGTAAGTAATGGGTTGGTTGTTGAATTGCATCCTATGGACATAGATTAAAGATACAAAAACACGTACACTCAATCATAGATTCAGATTAGAAGTTATTATTTGCATTCATCAATCATTTGTCCATGTTGGGAAAAATAATCCATACAATCAGTTTGCGTACACCACAAAAGCTTTCTTTAAGTTCAACTTTAAATACATTTGAGGTCAGGCAGTGGAGCTTTTATCATTGAGAGAAAAACAGTACTTCTTACCAGGTCTCCGTATTTATTCATGCGCATAGTGAACGGCCTCATCCCCCTGAAAAACCCTTGATTATTATTTTCAATCATCTGTTTGTTCTCCTCCCAGATGATCTGCCTTTGCATATCGTCCTGCATTACAAAAAAAAGCATATTATAGAAACACTTAAGTGGATCAGAGCTTGTATGCACTTTACTGTTGGTTTTTGTATTCAACCCAGCGTCATTATCACCATATCGTCATAGGCTATGCCATTGCTGCTCTTCCAGATCTCCCACTCGGTCAGGAGCAGCTCGTCTGAGTCTGAGGCCACGAGCTGCGGGCCGCACAGCAGAACCGAGAGCAGAGCGGCTCCCAGCAGGAGGCCGGTCTGCTGGACTACAGAAACAACAGCATCATAGAGTCACAGCTTTTCATTGTACCTCAACATTATCAACGTTTGTGACTTGCATCGTCACATACAGTAACATTAACAGTGTAAGCATTGAAAACCTTCTGTAGCATTTTCTATTTTTCTGGTGAGTATATGGATGTGTGTTATTGCAGTGTTTCATATTTGCTTTTAATCAAGACTATATGTTTATGTTTATTAAGGATCCCCATTAGCTTTTGCGCTTGACAAAAGCTACTCTTCCTGGGGTCCGACACTTAAAACAGTATAACAATAATACAACAATAATACAAAAACATTCAAGACATAACTCCTGACATCATTAACAATATTAACAACATCACCAATATCATCAACAATTTCCAACATCATCAACAATCTCATCCACTTACAACATCAATCTCAGCCAAGGATGAGTGCACAAGACACCCACCAGTACAAAGCATGAGATCAAATTCAATTAGGGTTCACAGTTCACAAGGGTACATGGTCATTAGTAGATGGCCCTTCAATCTCTTCTTGAAAGAGGCTCTGGACTCTATTTCAGCAATTAGTTCCATTCCTTTATAGCTCTATAAGTCACAGAAGATTTCAGAAGATTGGTCCTGGGTTTAGGTGCCAGTAGATGGCCTGATGTAGCTTGTCTAGTCCTATGGTCATGCTCGTCTCTTGTATAAACTATTTGATCATAAAAATACAGTGTTTTTTTGCTAAATTGAAAAGTGATAACACGAGATTGCAGACGTTTCTCAACCGGAAGCCATGATAGGTTTCTATGCATAACTCCAATATGAGTGCGCTTCGAACAGTGGAGAGCTAGTCTGGCAGCCTTGTTTTGAGCTATTTGTAATTATGTGTTTTTGCTGCTGATGACCATATGACCGGACAGTACTCAAGATGTGACAAAACCAGAGACTGAATGACTTGTTTCAAAGTGGTTGGTGTTACATACTTTGTACATTTTCTCGTCACAGCTCCTTCCCATTTTAGTTACGATACTGTCTATTTGCTTTGTCCACTGTAAACCAGAATCAAGAACAATGCCAAGCAACTTAGTCTCGTTTACCTGTTCCACTGGCTGACCAGCCAGTGTCAGGCTTAATTGAGGATTGCTGCTTAACATATGTCTGGATCCGAACACCATTGCTTTTGTTTTTGCAATGTTGAGTACCAGTTTGTTATTGTTGACCCAGTCTGCTATGGCTTTAATCTCTATGTTAAGTAGATTGTTTAACTCACTGCATGTTGATGCTGTACTGTACATTGTGGAATCATCAGCATACATTATTACACTGGACTTATTTAATACGTAAGGAAGGTCATTTGTGAATATAGAATACAACAAAGGCCCAAGCGAACTCCCCTGTGGGACCCCACACTGCAACACCTTACTTTCAGAAAAGGTCCCATTGAAAAAGACTCGCCGCCTTCTCCTAGTTTGGTAGCTCTCCATCCAACACATAGCAACAGAACCAAAGCCATAGCATTTGAGTTTGTTCAGCAGCAGACTGTGATCGATTACATCGAAAGCTGCGCTAAAGTCTAACATGACAGCTCCTACAAGCCTCCTATCATCCATGCTCTTTAACCAGTCGTCTGTCATTTGTGCAAGTGCTGTACTTGTAGAGTGACCATCTCTATAGGAATGTTGGTAGTTCGTTGTCAGATTGTTACGTGAAAAGTAGTATTGAATTTGGGTGTATACTATTTTTTCTATTAATTTACTTAACACTGGGAGGAGACTTATGGGTCGACTATTGGAACCAGCAAAGGATTTTCTTTTATCCTTGGGTAATGGGATAACCTTGGCTTCCTTCCAGATCTCGGGGCACACGCCTTGCTTTAAACTTTTATTAAAAATGTGACTCAATGGCTTGGATATGTATTTGGCCGTCATTTTGAGCAGTTTACCATCCAAGTTGTCAATCCCAGGAGATTTATCAGAAAGATAACAGTTGTTGTACTTACTGAACTGAGCATATCAGCGGACAAACTCATTACAACTGGGCAATCCTAATAGTTATCTAGTGTTTTGTAAAGTCATTCTACACAGTATGTAGGTTAATTTTTTTTTAATCAAAACTGCATCACTAATATATTTTCAGTGTTTTTTTCTTCCAAGTCCAAAATGTGCAATTTTAGAAAAGCAAATCATTGCACTGTGTAGCACTTATTTTATAAAAAATGTATTAGACTGTAGAGTAAAACAATAAGAAAACAACTGTCTACTCAATAATACAGGCTATTTATTCTAAAAGTGAAAAAAACGATATATTGTTCTCTCATGAAACTCCTGATTGGCAACATAAATTACATGACTCCACGTTTTATACATAAAAAAATAATATTTCTTATTACTGAACTCTGAATAAAATGCAATTTAATGTAAAAACATACAATATATCTTATCAAATCAAATACTTTATAAATAATGGTAAACCACCACAGGACAAAGTCCACTTGCTGCATGTACAAAGCACTCTTTAAGCTTAAACACTTGCATTAGTTGCATTTAGCAGAGGTTATTCTCTACACAACAAAAACATTTTTAACACATATGAAATAAAAAGCCCTTGCCAGCTCACCTTCATGGATGTGAGTCTGTTTTGTTCCCATGGTCTGAGAGGGACTCTGCAGCTACACAACAACACACTCACTGTCAAAGTTCCTTATATATCTCTGCTATAAGGACATTGTCTCCACTATACTTTAATGAGTCCCGTAATCAACACTTATGCCAGCACCTGAGAAGAACGTAAGTCAACAAAAAAAAGATGCTTTCCCAGCTCTTCCTTGGTAATACCCCTATTATCATTTAGAGAGAGCTAAGGCTGCAATAATGTAAATCCTTCAATTACCGGTTTATAATTGAGCATAACACCTGACATCTAACTTACATGAACTTACATGACATGAACTCCAAAATCAGCTGTGGAGGAAGTGCACAGATCATTTACTTAAATAAAATAGCACTGTGTTTATGTTAAAATAACTTATTATAAGTATCAATTCTGCATTCAAAACCCGAAGCACTTTAGTATAATCAAAAACATTTGAAATGGAGAAATTACAAAAAACGTAATGGAAATAAATAAATAAAGTGGAAAATAAAATAAAGAGATAATAATAGTGATATTAAAGATCTAAGTAAAATGTATTAATAAAAAAAAAGAAAACAATAAGAAAGAAATACTTTATAAAGTAAAAGAGAAGATTTCAAATGAAAAATGTTAAGGACCAATAGTTTAATCTTTATCAATGCCTTGATTTAAGTTTATAATGTATTTATTATTAAATTGCAATCTGAAAATTAACTTCACTTGACCACAGTTTTCAGATAAATGTAGTGGAATGGACAAGTGGATTGTCATTTGTTGCCTTAATTTGTTACTTATGTCATACATATTTTAATCCCTTGTTTTTGTTTATTCTTGTGACAACATTATATTTCTATTTTTGTCTTGCAATAGGTTTTTTTTAAATTATTTTCAAATTGTTGTGCTTCGGTCTAATTGATGTTTTATATATTTATTTATTTATTTTACTAGCCATGTGGATCACTTTGGGCTGCATGATTGAATGAAAGGGGCGATAGTTTATTTGAGTTCAGAATAAGGTAAAAAACAACAACAACAACAACAACAACAACAACAACAACATAACGCATTTACAAATCTACAAATAATCTAGATTAAAATGATACTAGTCCTGCATCGTTTTGTACATGAATTTAACTCCCTTCTCTACCTGGTTTTACACTGACACATGACCATGTATGTGTGCTCAGCAGCGCCCCCCAGCGGCCCGGAGCGGCCTCCTCTCAGCACCGACTGCAGGGGATGAGCTCAGCTGACGGTCTGCTGTTATTATGTCCGCGAACGGACCGCGCCAACACCCAAAAACAGTGCGGCAAAACAGGCGAGAGGCGCTCAGCTCAGCATTGTTTCTAATGAAGGAGTGTGCTGGAAACAACATGAGTCACGAATGAGGTCTGCAGGATGTCTTTTAAGGTAAACAAGCCTTTTCCATCCATCATCCTCTGACTGCATGCATCCCACAGGGCCTCAATAGGAATCCAGATCACACTTGCTTCCTCTCAAAGTGTAGGACTAGTTCTTAATTTAATTAAGTGGTGTAGCCTTTTGACTGTAAAGCACCGAGTGTGTGTGTGTGTGTGTGTGTGTGTGTGTGTGTGTGTGTGTGTGTGTGTGTGTGTGTGTGTGTGTGTGTGTGTGTGTGTGTGTGTGTGTGTGTGTGTGTGTGTGTGTGTGTGTGTGTGTGTGTGTGTGTGTGTGTGTGTGTGTGTGTGTGTGTGTGTGTGTGTGTGTGTGTGTGTGTGTGTGTGTGTGTGTGTGTGTGCACGAGTGCGAGCAGGTATCATATGGGCTGTGGTCCAACTGAAATTTCACACCTTATGCATGTTCAGTTCCTCTTGCAAATTACAAATACCTTTAATCATGTCTATTCTGAAAGACAGGGAAATGGTGTGTGTGACGGTGTGTGTGTATTTGACACTTTACACCTTTACTCCTGCAGAGGACACTGTACTGTTTTTCTGGCTATACTCTGCTGTCAGTGTGTATAATACTATAATGGTGGTTCTAAGGTCAGTGGTTGTTGTGTGTATTTACCCTCCAGAAGGAAACACCCCTGTCTAATGCTGTGTTTTGGGCAGCGAGGAAGGGGAACTTGGCTCTGCTTCAGCTGCTGCTCAACAGCGGGCGTGTGGACGCAGACTGCAGAGACAGTGTAGGCCTACGGACGCTGCATGTCCTGGCTGCTCAGCTGCACGCTTTAACCATAACCCACCTGTGGTAGGGAGACAGAGAGCTTCAAGCCTTACCTCTGTTGCATGTGTGTGTGTATGTGTGTGCTGGTGTGTGTTGGTGTGTGTGTGTGTGTGTGTGTGTGTACCACCCTTATTATGCTTTTTCTTTCACCATAATAAAGGGTGAGGGTTTTAAGCTGGAAAATCTGCCAAGTTTAGAATTTTTCATCCCCATATTTTAAGTATTTTTCAGCAAGTCACCTCCAAAAACCACACAAGGTTGAAAAAGGTATTGTTGCCATGTTTCTCTTCAGTTTGGGACGACAGCACTGATGGTGGCGTCCTACAGCGGCCATTATGAGTGTGTCAAAGAACTCATCATGCAAGGAGCCGACATCAACTACCAGAAGGAGGTATGATCAGAGAAACACTGGCCAGCTCAATGAAACAGTTTTCATGAACTGTGAGTCAGTTTGAATCTGGAGTCTGATTCACTTAGAGGTTGCCAGATTATCAGCAGAGACTCCAGGAAATTGCTGCTCCCTGCAAAATAGTCTGGTACATGAACCGCCATCAAGAGTGAATTGTTCATTAATAAATTAAACAAGTGTTCTGCCTTGCTCTTAGCTAAAATGTTTTCGATGTAGCTATATCTTTAGCTGAAAGAGATTTGAGGGGTATCGATCTCCTCATCTAACTCTCTGAGTATTCCTCAAAATGTCAGGCTTTGCCTTTATTATAGCTCCTGTAATGTCTTCCTTATGTTTTAAATATAGATCATCAGTCGTACAGTCTTGGGATTGAGAATAGGACACATTTGTTGCAAGATCAAAGCAAAATATACCTGAAATGACCCCAGAGCAAGGCTTATACTTTTATAGATTTCAACTCTTTCCTAATTTAAAATACATACAAACATGGTAATTTTTTTCCCTTTCAATGTCATGCAAAGTCTCTCTCAATTGTCCTTCTCAGACAGGTTCCACCGCCCTGTTCTTCGCCTCCCAGCAGGGACACAATGATGTTGTGAAGCTCCTCTTCGAATTTGGTGCCTCAACTGAATTCCAGACAAAGGTATGCAGCAGGACAATGACTGTGCATCAGACTGTAAAATAGTGGGTGGAACGGAGAGTGCTGCTCATCTCAGATGCACTTTGTTTAGAGATGAAGATGTAAACATTTGGCACATACAATCTAATTTGTTATCCTTATTTGTATACCTCTGGAGATTGTAAAGATCTTCTCTTTGCAGTGTATAACAATCAGTGATTACTATGAACTATGTCGCCCTGGTAGATTGTTTTTCATTGTGTTTGTTAGCAGAACGGGGGCACAGCTCTCACGGTGGCCTCTCAGTATGGACACTCCAAGGTGGTGGAAACACTGTTGAAGAATGGAGCCAATGTTCACGACCAGCTATATGTGAGCCACATATTTAGCCTCCTTTTTATCTCCTCTCACTGTCAGTACTTCTGTCTGTCAGAAACATGGTGTTTAAGCTGCACACCATGTCCCCGCAGCTGGAATCCAGCCACTCAGGTTTCTACAGACCGCTGAGTCAGACATGACATTTGGAAGGACTAGTTTCTGTCCTCAGAGCACAGGAAAAATAACCACACATACATGTATTTGTAAAATAATGGTCATTTAGCAATATGCTATTATACTCGTTTTGATTAGTTGGAAACGTTCAGAGATCATTTGCCATCAACGACAGAACAGTGTGAAAGTTGATTCTTTTGTTTCAGGATGGGGCCACTCCTCTGTTTCTCGCTGCACAGGAGGGTCATGTGACTGTGATACGTCAGCTTTTGTCAACCGGTGCCAAGGTTAACCAATTTAGGGAGGTAATGTCTTCGCCTCCAGCGTTTTTACAGATTTAAAGGTCACAGTCACTCAAACATTCAGCTCTTTAGGTCGTGTCATGCCCACATTGACTCTAACATCCCTTTTTTTTCACCTCTTCCCTCTTATGTCCTCCTTCACTGCAACCACCCTCCCCTCCACCTATGTGTTCTCCAGGATGGCACCGCCGCCCTGTGGATGGCAGCTCAGATGGGTCACAGCGAGGTTGTGAGGGTGCTACTCTTACGTGGTGCAGATCGGGATGCTGACAGAGTATGAGGTTCTTTTAAAAAATGAAAATACACAACAGTGTAAAAAACGATTATTGTCGTATAGACCACTTGGCCCCAACCTGTGTTGTGCAAGATACTTTGAAAATGTAATATATTAAATATAACTTGGTACTTTCATTTGATGTAATAAGTTACTTTACAATATACCTGTCTATGTTGCTGCTGTTGATGCCGGAACTCAGGTTTTCTATTATACTCTCTATTTGTTAAGTTATCACTGCTCACATTTTGAGAAGATAATGAAAAGTGCTTCTACAACAACTACTAATGCATTTTGCAATCACACTGTCTCTTACACTCATATTATCTCTGAGTTTGAACATTTACAGCTCCAAATGAACAAACTTGATCTGCTTATAAGGATCATGTTATATTGTCAAGAGCCTCAGAGCAAGTGAGTTGGAGGACCTTAAGTGGAGATGGTTTTGTTAGATAACAGTTTTATCACTTGTCTTTTAAGGATGGATCGACAGCATTATTCAAAGCAGCTTTAAAAGGCCACAACTGCGTCATTGAGGAACTTCTCAAGTTTTCTCCTTCAGTCGGTCTCCTCAAGGTAAATTATGCCTTCTTTGACTTCAACATTTCGAGAAATACGCTTATACGCTTTCGGCCAAGAGTTACTTTCGAAGAATGTTACCAGTGTCATGTAAATGTCCATATTAGGGCCATTGTACAGTAGGTAAATAACAATGTCTTTGGATGTGGGCAAAACATGTGATAAATAAAACATTTTCTGATACCAAAGTGATACATTTGAAGCACAGAAAAAGATCTCAAAAGTTTTTGCTTGAAAATGTGTGAGTTTTCTCTCATACATAACATTTTATAGAAAAATACAGGGGTGGAATACCTTCCTCCAGACTCCGTAATTTCTTTCTTTCTTTTTTTACCCACTATGTTGTTAATACACTGCTGTACATAATGCTCTGGATAAAGAGCAGTGAATGCAGAATTTGAATTATATCATTATGATTTATGTGTTGTCTCCAGAATGGCTCTACTGCCCTACATGCTGCTGTTATGAGTGGAAATCTCCGAACTGTTCTGCTGCTGCTTGAGGCGAACGCAGACCCCACAGTACCCAACAAGGTAGTCACTTACATTTTAAAATGAGAGTATAAACAGACAAAATATGAGCAGATCACTTAATCATCTTGTCTTATGTGTGTTGTACAGAATAATGAACTCCCTGCAAATCTTACGAAGAACGACCGCATCCTTAAAATGTTACATCCAAAAATCCTAAATGGAGACAGCTGATGAATGACCAAACTACTACCTTCATGCCTGTCTGTACTGCACTGGTGATGTGTGCTGAGGGGGGGGGGAATTAAACAACCATACAGTGTTAAACATATTCAACCACAACATTTACTGTACATGGTGCTTGCTGTTGATTGCAACTGAAACTGTCGAATAACTGTTGAATAAAGGTGGACTCCATAGAGCAACAAAATGTGCAACCAAAATGCATTTGTCTGCCATGTGCATTACCTCCTTCTCTCTGTTCTACAGTATATGCATTTATTTTTGTTAAACCCAGGTGTTGTAAGAATTATAGATATTTTGCACACTTTTTATTTGCCTTTTTAATAGTTGTAATAAAGTGTAAGTTTGTTATTCAATCCATAAGATGGCAGCGTGCATGTTTATTTAATGAGTGAGAAATTAAGTAATATTTGTTTTAACTCATCCTGATAACTATCAATGAAAAAAACAGATATTACAAATGTTAGGAACAATATGATCTGGTGTATTTGGAAAGTGAGCGTAGGCTATTTTTATTATGCCTTTTAAGTAGGGAAAATGTGGCTGGAGAGGATGTTAGAGAGAGGTAGCAAACTATTCAAAATTGTTTTTACATATGCAAAATATAAGTATATTTCTAACCTCTGACATTTAAAATATTATGGGATTCAATTCATGAGGAAAAATAAAATGGTAGGACATGAATCGTGTAAAATGAAACAGCTGACAGGGACATGCAAACAAATTCACCAAAACTAGGTTTATAGATTTCAACAATAGCAGAAATGTTGAATATGGAAATCGGAACCCTTACATTCACAATCACAATTTTTAAACCGGCACGATTTACGACACAAAGCTGTAGGATAACATTCAGCATTATTTCAATCCAGTCCATGATTTGCCATACACAGGTATTCCTCCCACTTTCCAATCCCCATACCCCCTCTCCCAACGCCCCATACCTCCCCTTGTACTTTTATTTATGTGTCTCTTGGTTATTTATTCCTTTTCCTCATATATACAGTATAACAATGTGCAATGGGCTTTTAAGTTAGTAATTGTCTAACATATGATGAAAAAAAACATTGCAAACAGTATAGAACACATCTAAATGATTTAGTTATGATGACTAATACTCACCAGAGGGCAGTGTGTCCCTACATTTACCTGTACCACACCTGTACCAACTTAAATTGTGCTTGAATTATTTAATTGTTTTCTGCATAATAAAACAATGCATTCTTAATAGTTCCATCTATCTAGTACATTTTATTATATGCTTATTAGTATAACATAATATATTTTATCATATTTGTTTTCAAAAGCATGACTAATCTCACTGAAGAGGACAAAAACATGATCACGTGACCGACGCGGAAGTGACAGTCCACTGTTTGTTGATGCGGAAGCAGAAAGAGCTTTAAGATGTTTTGAGATTGACGTTGTTTTAAAATAAAACAGAAGGCAACAGGAAAAAATAGTTTAATCGAACGTGAGAAGCTATAGTTTGACGACATATCCAAAGCTAATGGCCGGTAGTAATCTACAGGTGAGTGACAAACTTTTGTTCAGCAGTTACATAAGACTGTGACCTCAGAGGAGTCGTTTAACATTTCTACTTTTTCATTTACCGTCAGCTTTTAATCATCTTAAATGGCGAATTCACCGGGTTAAACGAGTTACATTTAAACATTAACTCCGTACCAAGTATTGGAAGTAATAGTGAAAGCGTTATTCAGTTAGATCAGTTAGGTATACTATGAATCAGGTTCACATTTATGGCAGCAACAATCCCTCCCTCTTTACCCATTATATTAGTACAATGTACGTAATACTTTTAATTTACACATGTTTTTTTGTTTTGTGTGTGTATTGCAACTGATAGTGGAAGAGACAGAAGAGAGAGGCACGTCTAAGCCACATTGTTCATGATATTATTAATATAAAACATTTCATGAACTTCTAAAATACACAGCATTTAATAAATTAAATCAATACATTCACAGTATTTTAGAAATTTGACCTATTACAAAAAAGCTGTGTATTTAGTCAAGTAAATGTTATCTATATAGCCCAATGTCACAGCTTTTACAACCTGTAAAGCATATAACAATAATTTGGTTTAGGAAGAATACCCCCTTAAAAACACTTTTTTTTAATGTAGGAATAAATGTAATAACTACAGAGTATTAATTAATAGATTTCCAACATTTATAACGTCAACGCCCGTGGTAAAGTTGTTCATTTTCAATCAAATCAAATCAAATCAAGTTTTATTTATATAGCACATTTTTAAAAACGATTTTTGGTCGAGCCAAAGTGCTGTACATGCATTAAAAACACTTTTCTACAAAAACAAACAGAAGACAATAAATTACAACAGCAAAAATAAAATCACACACAGGGAAATGTCAGGAGTCGTGCTCCGCTCTGACTAGAAGGCCAGAGAGAAGAATTGTGTCTTAAGTGTAGATTTAAAAACCCCTAGGGTCTGGGCCGACCTCACATGGAGGGGCAGAGTGTTCCAGAGCCTAGGGCCAGCTGCTGCGAAGGCTCGGTGCCCTCGGGTTTTGAGCCTGGTCTTGGGCACTATCAGCAGCAGCTGGTCAGCAGACCTTAAAGCTCTGGCTGGGGTTTTTTATTTTATTAGCTTGTAACTACCTTACTAACCTACTAACCTTTTAAAGGGTGCCATATTACAAGCTGGTCTCCTTAATTCTTCTTTTTCATGTTGTCTGTTCTCAGAAAGCTATAGATCTCGCCAGCAAAGCTGCAGCGGAGGACAAAGCCAAGAACTACGAAGAGGCCCTCAAATTATACCAGAATGCAGTGCAATACTTTCTTCATGTTGTCAAGTGTGAGCAGCCTATCTGTGTTTGACTTATTACAGTATTTGTGTGATTTTCCAAACATCCCTTCTACAGACAGTATCTTAAGCTTCTTCTTATGTTGCAGACGAGTCTCAGGGTGATCGAGCGGCGCAGAGCATCAGAGCAAAGTGTGCCGACTACCTGGACAGAGCCGAGCAGCTGAAGGAATATCTGAAGAAGAAGGAGAATGCTCCTCCGGCCAAACCTGTCAAAGAGTCTGATGACAAAGGGTGAGTCAATATATCAGTGTCTTTAGTACTACAAAATAAGTTATAGAGCAGTTATTTGAGTCTTGTTGTTGTGTGTTTGTTTTAGTTTTGACAGACATGTTCAATGCATTTACTTCCTGGTACAACATTTGCACAGCCAATGTCCTGAACATTTTTAAACCTGCATTGTTTACATCTATGGTTACCTCCTAGCTGCCTTCTTTTTCCCCTTCTCTTCTGTCTAATTCCTGCATTAATTAGCACGCTACCATATCTAAATAAATTGAATATTGTGAAACCGTTGGCAGAATTGTTTACTGTGTCATGAAAAAGAAAACACTCATTATGGTTCATCTAGTTTTCAAAAACTTGAAACTGGATCCAAAATACTTAAACTCAAAATAACAACCGCAATCTTAATGACTGGAACAACTGCTAAAGATCTGTTTAAATCCATATTAATTATATATTTGTTATTGAAAACATTATACTCAAGATGTGTTCCAATGTTTACCTTCCTGTAGACACATTTTGCATGTTTTCATGTTTCAGTTATTGGAAATTATATTATTTAAAGTGCAACACATTAACACCTAAAACAAGGATTTTTCAGGAACCTTCCTCAGAATTTTCTTTCTAAGAAATAATGGATTCTGTTAAACCATGTGTTACTGTCAACACCCCCCTAGACAATACAAATCATTGTCTATGGTTCCACAAAGTGTCAATAAACCACAATGCCGTCTGGTGTCATTTAAATTCAGAGAGGATGCTGATGGGGATGACGCTGAGAAAAAGAAGTTCCAAAATCAACTCTCAGGTGAATACATTAAGTGAACATAGAGGCAGATGCACCAGTGAAATATGTTGGGCAAAACATCATCATCATTGCATGACAATTCAGAAAATTGTTAATGCCTTGACCTAATAAATGTTTATCAAACCCATCCCTCTCACAGGTGCCATTGTCATGGAAAAGCCAAACGTGATGTGGGACGATGTAGCTGGACTTGAGGGGGCCAAAGAAGCCTTAAAGGAAGCCGTTATCCTGCCCATCAAATTCCCTCATCTGTTTCAAGGTACTGAAAACAAGAGCCAACAACAGGCAACTTTAAAGCTCCTGAAAATGAAGAGTATTTATTAATACAGTATTTATTATTGTAGGAAAGCGAACTCCTTGGCGGGGGATCCTTCTGTTCGGCCCTCCAGGAACAGGGAAGTCCTATCTGGCCAAGGCAGTGGCCACGGAAGCCAACAACTCCACCTTCTTCTCCGTCTCCTCCTCTGACCTCGTGTCCAAGTGGTTGGGGGAAAGTGAGAAGTAAGGCCGGGTGTTAACATTATGGTGAAACTGGGATTATGATAAATGCACAATACACATTTATTGTTCCCGCCCTCTGTCTTAATCCAGGTTGGTGAAGAACCTGTTCACTTTAGCCCGTGAAAACAGGCCATCGATCATTTTCATCGATGAGATCGACTCTCTCTGCGGCTCCAGGAGTGAGAACGAGAGTGAAGCAGCGCGCAGAATCAAGACGGAGTTCCTCGTCCAGATGCAAGGTGAGTAAGAAGAGATAACTTGAGGATCTTAGCTGAAATCTGCCAGCAGTACTTTGTTTATGAAGTGTAAGAAATGCCCTTCTCCTCTCAGGTGTTGGAACTAATAATGAAGGAGTCCTGGTGCTGGGAGCTACAAACATACCGTGGACATTGGACTCCGCTATCAGGAGAAGGTTGGTTTCACTTATGAAAAATAATGCCTCTACAATCATTCAATTACCGTGCAATTTGGGAATGTATGGTTCCATAGGGTTAAGTCATGATGATGTTAAGATTACTTTATTATTATTTTTTATTAACAACTACCTGATGGTTTTCCATGATACTTTTTACACATAACAGTGTTTCCTTTTAGATTTGTAACTACTATTTTAACACACATTTATTGCCTGCAAATAGCTGTCTCGAATTACTTTTGTAATGTCACTTTATAATTTATACTTAAAGGTCTTAAACTTGTTTTAGTGTCATGTGGCACTTCTTATTAAATGATATACACTGCATCAAGAATACCAAAGGCACCACACAGTCTCACACGACTCTACCAGCTTTTCTGTAGGTACAAAATCAATTATCTCCTTCCACTGCAAAAGAGGGACACTGTCAGAGCAGTTCTCTTGTACAAGTGAAATTGTCAGCAAGTCATGACAATCATGATTTAATAGATGTAATGCTTCATGACGGTTGACTGATTCTTTTCTGTGTCTTAGGTTTGAAAAGCGAATCTACATTCCTCTGCCGGAGGAGCACGCCCGCTCCTTCATGTTCAAGCTGCATCTGGGCTCCACCCCCAACGACCTGACGGAGGCAGACTTCATCAATCTGGGCAAAAAGACCCAGGGCTACTCTGGGGCGGACATCAGTGTTATCGTTAGGGACGCCCTGATGCAGCCTGTCAGGGAGGTGCAGTCTACCTCTCACTTCAAGAAGGTAAAAACACTGTGGCCGATCACCAGTTATTCATACTTGTCCAAACTGAATGAAAAGGTATTTTGGGAATCCAGCAGGATTGTGTTGTTTCAAAATAATACAAATGTCTGAACAGCTAAAGCAATTATCGTTGAAAAGTGATCCATATCCTCCTGGGACCCAGCCCATTGATACATGTCCACTGTAGTGGACATTTTGTTAACATGCATCTCCTTTTACTCTTTTGAGCTACTCTATCAATCTCTGCTGCACTGTGCAGAGGACATCCTGGGCTTTCCAGTGATTCCAGTCATTGGTTAAAATTGCATGCTGGGAAGTTCCTCTGTCTTTTCATCCAAAATGGCTGACATACCACAAACAAAATGTTATAGAAGCGGGAGGAGAAGTCAAATATTGTTGATTAATTGTTGTTTTTAATATGAAAATAATATATATGTTCTTGTTTATTTACATGTAAGGAACTATATAATTAGTTCTGAAAGCAATTCAATACTTCAAGTTTTGAAATAGCAGCTCTTTTATAAATGTCCATTCTAGTGGACGTCAGGACCATCTTCATGGACTTAACATGTGTGAACATATCTTCATGGACTTAACACGGTGTGAACGCGGCTTAATGACTCAACATTGCTGCAGGCGACAGAAATCAATATTATATATCATCGTGTATCGTATTATGGCATAAATTAAATGTTTTCCTGGTTTTAAAGCTGCCATAAACGTTAAGTGACTTCATTTTGTGTTAACTTACCAGACACAGTCATTATATCCACATTACTGATGATTATAAAGCAAAATTGTCATTGTAAGTATTTTGTAAAAAAAAGCACCAATGGCCAACTCTAGAATCATTATTGAGGTATATGGTCAAAAATATTTGTATAATTTACAAACATGTTTTCCTTTCTAAATCGTATTGAGACGATACTAAAAAGTTAAAATATTTCTCATTAACACACTTAACTAGCCTGTCGGAGTGTATGAAAAAATATTCAGAATGTATTCACTCACACTCAAACTCTTCCTGATTTAGGTGAGTGGGTCATCGTGGAAAGAACCCGGCGTTGTGGTGGACGACCTCCTGACTCCATGTTTACCGAGCGATCCCAACGCCATAGAGATGAAGTGGATGGACGTTCCTGGGGAGAAACTTCTAGAGCCAGTTGTGTCCATGGTAAGAATAAACTCCAAATGTTCCGCATAAAGGAAAAACAATGTGCATGTTGTGTCGATCTGTGTTATTGATAAACACAGATGACTGCAGTGCTCAGCATTTATTGTGGCCTGTGTTTTTTCCCGTGCAGCCGTACATGCTGAGGTCACTGACGAGCACCAAGCCCACGGTGAATGAGGAGGATTTGGGGAAGCTGAGGAAATTTACTGAGGATTTTGGTCAAGAAGGCTAATAATACACGTTCTAATCATCAATGAAACTGCAAATAACCCTTATTTTCAATGTCAGTTACGCTTGTTTCTGTTTTGCTACAAAAATAAGACAAAGAAAATATTTCCCAGGGATGTGAGCCAACAGAAAGCAAGCTAATATTAAGGTTTAATTAAAGACAAAGTTGCTGTTTTTCCTGGAGAATTGACTAACAACTTTAATTGAGGATTTTCTGCCAATTAAATAATCAACTGTTTATGTACTGTCGATCACACATTTTTCAAACTGCTTATGTTTACATATTTTATTGGTTTTATTTGCATGTCCAAGTGATACTATTCTTTATTTGTTTAAGAGCGACCTGTATCATCACTGTTCGAAAATAGCAGATAATGATGCTGAATTTGTTAAATGCACATTTTCAACACTACATTCCTCTTCTTATAGTTTAAGGGGGATTATATTTTTGCTTAACAGAATCAGTTTGGTGGTTGGCTTTAATAAATGGGTATTTATACTGTCAAATGTAACAGTTACTCTTCTAAACATTGAAATAACCTTTTAGTAGCTGTTTGCATTTCTCTATATACAAATTGTCATTAACCACTTTAAAAGGGCTTTCTGGTTTTCTTGTGAGTTACTGAATTTTCACTATTACAGTATAGTTTCAACCTTTAAACCTTGTGTTCACTTTATGTTCCTAATCACTTTAAGATCCTGTCATTATGCTCTGTTGGTTTGAAATGTCTTTATATCAAGTTTCTCTTTCTTACTGACTGGTTATATAAAAGAAACTGGTTATGGTGGCCTTTTGTTGTATTCTATATGACATGTTCTGTGAACGAAAGTCTCAGGGTTGAATAAACAACTCAAACAAAACTACAGGAGTCTTTATTAATGTTACGAATATATTTATTGTTAAAATACATCTCTTAATTAATTGCCATATATATTCTAAATGATGGTACTTTATTTAGTACATTTGATAGGATAAATACAACATGTACATTTAAATCTTTAACACTTTAAGATATATATAAAACTGACATCAATGTAACGCTGCTTGCACAAGCTCATCATTTGAAGTCTTGAACATCTCTTCCATTAGTGTAATCAGTAAAGATATGAAGTGTTTTTGTAGATAAAGGCAAACATGTTTTCTATTTAGCAGAAGTTGCTATTTCTTACTGAATAAATGAAGTCTTAAGTAACATTTAATTGGAGAGTCTTAATCTCAAGATACTGATTGGTATTTGTGCATATCACACCAAGCCTACTGAAATAAAAACCAAACTATATGTTCAAACACAAATTGAAAAGCATGGTTCAAGAGCTGCCAATGAAAAACGAAAAATAAATAATGCTTGCAAATATGAGTTAGGAGGAGTGACGTCCCTTTTCACATCAAAGCACATCGTGTAAATGCAAGTGTTTCCCTCATACAAAGACTTATTTGTGGTGGTGACAACATCAGACATTCATCCCAGCAAGATTCATCCTAACACGTACCTCAAAATGCTACAATGTAAATGATTATTGCTTTTTGTGTGTGCGATCCTGTTTTACACAACTCTCATCTCGAGTGCCTCCACCACAAATAACCTGAGAAACACTGCATACTCACAACCCAAAATAGCCAAATATCAAGTGTAAAACAAAGAAAAGGTAGAGTACACAAAGGCAAAAGTAAGACAAGAACAACTTAAATAAAACAACAATTGATGGCCTTTAGGATAATTCTGCAAATATTAAGGACAATTGTGCTCCATGAAACAGAAACAAAACTTGAAAATAGCGAGGACCTGATCTGTACAATACTTACAGTAAAAGGAGTAGCGTCTTGCTTTTCATTGAAAAAAGTGAGTAAATGTTGTATTTTTGGTTAAAAACAATCATATTCAGACAACACAAACGGGTTGGGAAATTGCCACACAGGGCATATGACAAAGTGCTAACAGTATTTACTGTGTGTAGATATATAGAACACATTGGGAGTGTTTCTCTGCCCATCGCAATCATGCTTCATAGATGAAAGTAGCCCAACAGATACATTTTCCTCCGACTCATGTGATGGCACAGAGAAGAAGCCAAATGCTGCTAATACAAGGGGTGTGTGCTAGTAAGTGTATATTAATCACCACACTAAAAGACAGAGAAGAGAGAGCCCAGAGCCAAACCAGTCGCTGCTCCAGCCAGCATGCCGAAAGCCACATCTCCTCCGTCTTCGCGCTGGCGTTCCCGAATAACAACGTGGTTCACTCCAGGAGCGGGATATCCACCTAGAACAATAGCAATAATGTAACGATAATTTGATTACGAGGCATTTAAATGAAAACAAATCCACTATTTTTTAAGGATTGACATCCTGTTGTGTACTATACATAATCATTTCTCATATTTAAGTTCAAATGTTTTTTATCATTTAAACAAAATCTAAATAAATGTGTTTTAAAGAAGATATTAATTGAGGTTTTAACTTTGCATTGGTGGTGGTATGGGATCATTGATCATTACATCAATATATTGATCCAGATTAATGGATCGTTACACACATATGCTACATGTGCAGTCATTTACCTTGGTACTGATAGGGATAAGCTACAGCGTAGGGCTGCCCATCCGGAGAGTATACGATCTGTGTAGCATGTGGTGGAGGTGCAACATAGTCTCCATATGGTCCTGGGGCATAACCCTGCTGAAAAAAGACATACCATAAAGTAGGGCTGTGCAATTAATCGTATTTTAATCTCGATTACGATTTTGGCTTGCAACGATTACGAAAACAATGTAATCGAAATAAAACGATTATTATTTTAATATAAAAAAATGTAATTTTTTTTTTTTTTATTGGTTTTTCTGTTGAATTATACTTAAAGTTCAGGGTAATCAACTGTTCAAAACATACTGTTCAAAAAAAAATTTCAATATATGGATGTTTTCAAAGTAAATGGATAATCGTTTTTAATAATCGTGATATCAATTATTGACCAAAATAATCGTGATTATGATTTTTGCCATAATCGCACAGCCCTACCATAAAGACACTGTTAATCTTAGAGATGCCAGTACTAGCAAGCCTGTCACATTACTAAAGGAGTAATTTAATTAATTGTTGCTTTCCCTGCTTATACAATTCCATTACTACACCAGTAGATGGTACTAGGCCCAACTTTATTTGTTCTTATGGAGTAACAGTTGTTTTCATTGCAAGCAAAACCAAGCCTTAATGTGCAGTCAAACATAAAATGTAAATAAATGTGACTTTCAATGCAAATTAAAAAAACATTATACCAATATTGTGCACTTATTTCCAGTTGTTGTGCCTTAAACAAACAATTTCTGCTGTTTAATATATAAACAGTGTTTACCAATATGTACAACTATAGTTGTTCCTTGGGAAATCCTACTATGAGTGTAATAATATGTGTTTTGTAAGTTAATTATGGTAAGTAAAAATCATTTCCAGGGTTAAATACATTACCAGTTTAAAAAGAAAACAGTATTAATCTAAATCTTTTTACAAAATTGACACAACATACATAATGTAAATATATTTTACCTGTGGTGGGGGAGCATATTCTGAGTAGGGGGGAGGAGCAGTTGCCATCACTTCCTGTGCATAGCCGATTTGAGGGGTAGCTACCACCTAAACAATTTTTTTTAAACACCAGAAATGAGATGAACTAAAAGCTGAGAATGATCATTAATAAAACTGAGCTAAATAATGTTTATTCTACTGCACTGAGGTTAACATCATATAAGTATTATTAAAAAGTGGTTCATAAAGCCAGAATCAAATGAAGAAATATATCTGACTTCCAGTTTCATGTTTTAAGACTGTCTTAAATCTTTGAAAAAATATATTATCAATATATATATTTTTTCATAATAAAGCAGATTAAAACAGACCAACTTCTTAATCTTATTTTGATAATGAAATCAAAACTGAAGTAATAGAAGATGGAACTCACTGCATTGATTCTGGCATCCTGAAGTGCCATGGTCCATGCCCTGCAACACAAAGTGTGAACCATAACATGTTAGACAGAAATAAGTCTTCCCTCTCTCAGCCAATCAGAGGACTTCTTGGTCATTTAGGTCTTAGTTGACCAAGATTTCCTTACTTGGTTCGTTGTTTTTTTTAAATGCTGAATGACTTATTTACAATACATGTATACGCACATAAACACAAAATGTAAAGTGGTGCTTTTGCAAGATTCTTAGTGGAAGGTCCTCTAATCTGGTAATATAACACAGTAAAACTAAAACATTAAACTTCACCAATACAGAAACAGAAAGAGAGCCTTACAGAGCATCATCTGCACTGTCTGCACACAGGCTGATGACCCGTCCATCTCTGCACACTATCTGCAGCAAGGCATCACGCATCCTCCCCTCCGGTGGGTTCAGCTCTGAGAAGCAGAACATATAGAGGTGACACGTTTTTTTTTAAATATGAACATTAGTTGGTGAAACTCATACTAAATACGAGCCAATTACATCTTCATGAAACAGATGACAAGTACCTTGACAAGCAGCAGAGTTGCGGATGTTAATGCAGTCCACCCTCATGTGGATTTCATCCTCCATGTCACACCGTTGTTGATCATTATAAAACACAAGTCGTCCATCAGCCCACAAGTCAAACCAGTTTCTTTTCCACCGACGCAGTATGGTACCTTTATTGAAAATACAAAATAGGCAAGTTAAAACAAACAGAATTTCATTATACAAGATCTCAAACCAAATACCACAGGAAGTAATGCCTTAAATCCAAATGGTAATCTGTTAGGACTGTGACAGTTTACTTACTTTGTCGATGGAGCCATCCACTCTTTACCATAGCCATCTTGGAGGTGACACCTAAAACAATTAAATATACAGTATGTAAGTATCAGTCAGTATTTGTCATTTATGACAAATGTAGGGGTGATGGCTGGGCGTGGCATAGCTAAACATACCTCGTGACTGTTAGCATAAATCCACAATGACATTTTCAGAACTTGTTAAATAGATAAGCTTTAAACACGTAAACAGGATGGTCTTCTTTGCAGATGACTCAGTTTATTGATTTAGAGTCTCAGATTATCAAGATTATCACGAATGTTTACTTTGCAACTTCTAAAGAGCAAATACGTTTGACACCATGGCATTCAATAATAACGTTAATCGATGATAATGTTAGATAATTGTCACTGCCAGGATATCACATCCTGTTTTGGCAAACATTTGGTAGTTTGTTATGTTGGTCCTCAAGGCACCTTTAGCTAGATGGCCTAACAATAGGCCAGTTGTGAATAGGCCATCCTCATGTATTATTAATACAAGTTGGACTGCAGATCTAACGTTCAATACTGATGAAGTTACGGGAAGTATGTAACCCCGTAATGACTTGAAGCCACAAATAAGTTGAGCTGTTGTGTTTCTTCTCTTACACTAGTCGAAGTTAGCTAACGATAAAGCAAGTGAGTAGCAAGCTGACTATTAACCGCTAATTCAAAGTTAGCTAAAAACGCCGACACTTCTCCTTACAACAGTATTTTATTTGATAATGGCGAAGTGTTATTTCGTTACTTACTTGAAGATTGTATAGGTTTTATGAAAAGATGAGCCGTTTGTGAGGAGACAGCAAAGACGGAAGTAAGATGCCCAAAAAAAGAAGATGCCCTTCTTGGATTCAAAAAGCCTGAACCATAAGGAGAGTGTTCACAGCCTGCAGGCCGCAGCTATGAGCTCTACGGTTGTTGCCCTAAACCCCGCCCGCGGTGCATCCTCGCAAACGTTCAATCCCTTTTCAAGAAGGAGGCGTTTGTTTTGAATGACGTAACCTATCAGCTGACAGAGTTGGAAAGTGCAAGCAAACCCAGCGAGGGCGCGCTCGTTTGTCTGTTCACGTCGCGCCCACATGGTGTGCAGCAGGCTGACTTTTTGTAAATAGAGGTCCAATATGGTTCACACCGAAGTATACTTGGACCTTATCGACCTAATGCAGTGCCCCCGCCATCAAATAATTGGAATATAGTTGTTTACAAGTCTAACAGTCCTTCGGGTTATCTTTCCCTGGGTAAATTAGATGTGCACTAAATCGAGTCAACAACACACAGAGCAAAGGGAAGTGTGATCAAGTAAATTAGATACATTCGCTGTAGTAAGCACTGTAGCAGTTAAGATCGGATGCGTACCCTGCATATTGATATCAATAATCAGGTTTATGATTGACAGGCGAATTGATTTAAATACATTAACACATTTGCACACAGCCATTGTTGATAAGGCTTTCCGATGCGCATGCGAAACGCTAGCAAAAAAGTTGCATCCTGTGTGTGCACTGGGGGGAAACTCAGTATTCGTGACTGCAGCACTGAGAGCATAGTTTCACTGCCGCACAGGGAATCTGAACTGCAATCAAGTGTCTCCAAGCGACTGTCCGCCGGGCGACCCAGGGTTATAAAACAAGCCTATCAACTCTCCGGCCAACAGTTTGCGAGCTAACCGTGCTAACGAGAATACCACAAAAGCTACACAGCTAACGTGAAATGGCGACGGCAATATACTTGGAACATTATCTTGACAGTGAGTATTCGGATATACAATCTAGTATTAACATTTAAAGCGTCTTCCGTGTCTTTGAGGTTGAGTTTTCCTGTATTGGATACTTTTTTGCTTGATAGGGGACAGGCAGATAGCAGCCCAGTGCGAATTAGCATCTGTTCGGTCACTAGCTCGCTAGCTATTAGCATCGCCGTCGGTGCTACAAAGTTGCGCAAACTATCTGTTTAGTGCTAAACTCACTCGCTGTGATCTAACAATTATCTGGACCAATGTCGAGTATTAAACAGTAACCACTTTTAGTTAACGTGAGCGGTTACTGTTTACTACGGGTTCTGTTACAACAGCTATCTAGATGACCTAGAAACGAACACTGCTTTTTATAAGATTGTTATTGTTGCATGTTGTCGTCACAGTCAATATTATTACATGTTCAAATTATGCTCATTTTAGTCATAATGTGTGATTGCTTTAGGAAGGCAGGCACCATGTATTTGCAACCTGTTGATAAGCCGCGTTTCCCGTAAGCAGTTACGCGCCGGGGCGGGGTATTTGAATTACGTCACGTACACGTACTGTAAGCTTTGACTCACCTAAAGGTTTTAACAGTAAAGTTATTCAATTCAACTCCAAAACAAAAAAACAACCAAACTTTAACAGCTTGTACTGTGTTTTTGTAATGTATAAATGTTTTAAATGTTGTGTTCTTGTAAGTTAAAAGAAAGTTGAATGGTAAATACCCATATGTAAAATGTCTTTATCTTTCTCTATGTCTCCTTCATACTTATGGTGATTTCCTTTTTTAGGTATTGAAAACTTGCCATGTGAGCTACAGAGAAACTTTACTTTAATGCGGGACCTTGACAACAGGACTGAAGGTGACCATTAAATCCCATCAAGTTAATCAATAATAACGCAAACATCATCCCATCTATACTGGTATTCCTGTATTGTAATAATCATGTTGTTTTGCAGAAAAGAAAGGCGAGATTGACCAACTGGCTCAGGAGTACATTGCGAAAGTGAAGAACCTGGCCTCTGAGCAGAGAGTGGAACACCTGCAGAAGATCCAACATGCCTACAGCAAGTGCAAAGAGTTCAGCGATGACAAAGTCCAGCTTGCAATGCAGACATATGAAATGGTCGGTCCAAAACTCATAGAATTGACCGTTAGTCAGTCAGTTCTATGTGTTCCTCTTCACTGTCGTACATATTATATAAAGTCTAATTGACGGCATGCATAAACATTTGTGTTCTTATTCTAATCTACGTAACATCTTTTCACTGCAGGTGGACAAACATATCCGTAGACTTGATGCAGATCTGGCACGTTTTGAGAATGAGCTAAAGGAGAAATTGGAAGTGAGCGGCTATGAAAGTACAGAAGGAAGAGCAGTGAAAAGTATGTTGGGTCTCTGAAAGGCTTTCCTAAAAGACAAAACAGAATGATGAACATCTATTAATGTAAATATTCTTTTCACAGAGGGTGAATCCAGAGGGCTGAAAGAAAAGCGTGCTTCAAGAGGAAGGGCAAAGAAATGTTCTGATGAAGATTCTCCCAAAAAGAAAAAGATAAAAAACAGGTACTTTTGGACTGGTTGCCAATGACTGCCAAAGATTCTGCACTACACATTTGTATCAAGCCTTTATAATTCATAACTGTTTTAATACAGAAGACACATAACTCGTTATTTTTGCCCCATTTTTTTGTATTCTAATCGTGCTCTATGTTTTATATTTGTGTTCTAGCCCAGAGTTGAGCGACACTTTCCTGCCGATGCAACCATCAGACGTTTTGGACATGCCAGTCGATCCCAATGAGCCGACGTACTGCCTGTGCCACCAGGTGTCATACGGAGAGATGATTGGATGCGATAACCCAGATGTAGGTTTTCTGGGTTGTTTTTATAGCTTTCTTTCTCGATTAAATGAAATTTGACACGTTTCTCTAATACAACACCAGTTTGACTGCATGTTTTGATGAGAGATTATTCATACTGACATTGTTTTTCATCCTTCAGTGTCCAATTGAGTGGTTTCATTTTGCTTGTGTTGATCTCGCCTCAAAACCAAAAGGAAAATGGTAAGAACTTTCAATTGGTTACAGGATGTTAGCCTAGAGTTGAAAAAAACACAATCATTGTTAATGCATATTAGTCAGGATTGTGCTCCATGTTCAAACATCTTTAACGCTCCCCTCTCAAATCTTTCAGGTTTTGTCCGAGGTGCACCCAAGACAAGAAGAAGAAATGAGGTTTCTAACTGCTTAACTATTAATGTATGTAATTTTGTGTAGGTTAAAGGGATAGTTCATCCCAAAATCAAAAATGCATATGTTTTCTCTTACCCTAAGTGCTATTTATCAATCTGGATTGTTTTGGTTCAAGTTGCCGTAGCGATATCTTTGTACCCAACTACACCGTCCAACCAAATTATACCTGGTGGTTGTGACAGCTTGAGATAATAAGCGTCCTCTTCAGCTTAGCTGTAATAGTAGCTGCCTCACCAGAGCCTCATTCATAAGTAGATGTACGCTTTCCTTTTTATGATGTGGAAAGAAAAAATAATAGATTGCTTGATTTGTTCAGCTGACTCTCGCATCAAAACAATCTATATTGATAAATATAACTACACGTAAGAGTGAAACTTATGCATTTTTAATTTGGGGTGAATTTTCCATTTAATAGTGTAAAATATATATTTCAGATACTACAACTGTCCATATACTTTGTGGGTTACACAGCTTTTAAAGGTATAATATGAATTTGGACTATAGCTCTACCTGTGGCACCATTTTTCATCAATTCACCCGAATATGATCTGTCCACTCGGTGTTATTTGATCCGGACAGTGGAGTTAAAAGGTGAACAAATGATTACCAATCAGAAAGTCCTTCCTCTTGAGTCATATAATATGTATATTACCGTTACTAACGTACTCAGAAATCTTGGATTGTGGCTTGAGCTTACTTGAAATATCAATTTTATAAATAACTATTTTTTTAAACAAATTAACAGCCTGCTGAAATATTCAATTTTAAACACCTTAAAACCTTACCAAACGTTGGTGGTAAAGGGAATTATGTGTCATATTTTCAGTTACCTCCTAAGGGAATACATCAGCACTGCATAAATGACTGCAATTGATAACATTGGAAAAACATTATGTATATCTTAAACCAAAACAAGAAATCAACGTACGTTTGTTTTGGATTTATTTTCAAAGAACCTGTGACATTTTTGAATGTAATGTGGTACTAATGGCCAGTCAGTCAGTGTCTCATGTTAACTGAATGAGGTATCATGCACTTTGAATGAACATTTTCCCTGAAGAGGTTGAAAGCTGCAGGATTGATTTTATGATATAGTTTATCTCATTTTAAATTGTGCCATAGTGCGTCGCTTCAAACCATATAGAATGATATACCTATATGTTTTGTATGATACAAGACAATATTTTGTGGACACAGTTTTTCCAAAGATATATATGTTGTATTGGTGTGCACTCAAATTGTATTTAATAGGATTTTAGCATCTTCTTTCGTATTCAACTGTGAATATCACTTGCGTAGGTGTAAGCCACAAATACACGAGCCAAAGTCTTTGTATTTTGTAAAATTCTGTATTTTATAACAAATAAATATTTGCTATTAATGATGCATATTTTAATTTGTTGCTGTTTTAATTGTGAAAATGTATTATCCCCGGTGGTACCAAATGCAGGTACCTACTGTCTTTACTGCTGCTGTTTGTTTATCGCATCAAATGTTGACTGAATACTGAAATGTCTTTCTGTAGTTGGAGTCTTATTCTACTTCTCAGACACTATTCCCTTCTACTCCTATCAAGCTGTAGCTGTTGCAAAACCATGGAAACATGCATTTTGATTAGGTATGTCTAATTACAAATTAAATGTAATACAACAGTACATCAGCAAACCTTTATGAAGGTTCTAATGGTCATTATTTGTTGGAACTGTTTAAGGTCAATTTAATGGACATTTTGAATGCTCTTGTCTGAATTATATTTACTCTACCCTCACTGATGTTAACAGGTTGGGCCAATGACAAGCACTATACCTGTAACTGCCTAAATGTAATGTTTTTTTATTTAAAACCACTTTATTTTATTGTTTTATTTCATTTTATCCAAATGTATATAAGCATCTTTGAAAACTCATAAGCACTAAAGACTGATGTATTATTATATTTCTAATGAAGGTAGAATTTATTGCAGATCTGTAGCATTAGTTTTATATATGTATACCTCCAAAATAGCAATGCAGGTATATACTTCAGTGTATAAAAGAAGATATTTCCTTTGGAGTTCCCCATGTTACTACTGTGTATGACTTTAGATGGTAGTTGTAAACGTCAGCTGTCTCAGATTTTCTTTTAAATAGAGTATCAGTTTGTTGGGTGATTTGCAGTCTTAAAGGTCAAAGAAAGTATTTGAGAACAGAGTTTTAAAATCCATCATTAGACTCTTCATCCCAGCTGCACTTTTCTTGGGTGGTCTTGGTGAAATCCATTTCGAGGTCGTAAACAAAGTCTGGATCATCCTTGTGTTTCCGGTTCTTCTCGAACAGTTCGTCCATTTTGCCCTTCTTGCGAGCCAGCTTATCGTCATCCAGTTGGTTAAGGTCTTCATCGGGGTCCAGTCGGAACGAGGCCAGGCTGTGCTCCAAGCTGAGGCCTTGCATGTGATCTCGCAGGATGATGTGAAGCTTCTCCAGCTGGCTCTGGGATACACCCTCCAGGTAGTCTCTGTGCCGAGGGTGGTTTTTCAGACCCTCTGCAGCCATGCTACAATCTGGAGGTTACAGAGAGGGCATCAAGGATTGAAACTGCTGGATGTAACAAGGTCAACCTGCTAAGGAGCCCTATTGACTGTTAAACCACATTTTGTGTGCAATATGTATCCTGTTGCCTTTGTGTATCCACCAGGGACATTGCAACAGATGCAACATTCCTGTTAGATTGTGGTCATGTGATTAAACACCTTTAGGAAATGTGTTATTCATCTTTGTAGCATTATGTAAACTAAAATACTTAGAATTGGATAAAGGGCCATGAACAAGACACGACCTCAGGAAGAGTTAAAAAATAAGGCACCCTCCTTAAGCTCTTATCCTTGAAGTTTACATATTAGTTTGGTGGTGCATATTCCTATCGAAATGCAGTTCGAGATACCTCTAAATAATTTCAAAATAGCAGACTACATCTGTAGCCTTGATGGCCACTGAGGGTCCTGAGTTGAGAGGCAGTTGTCTAATGTCGACAGCAAATTCTCTATTGTGAAGAAAAGTTAAAACAATCTTCTGTCACTGTGCCCTGATTTTTTCAGCTATGGTCATTTATACGTCGATTGTGATATGTGAAGGCTTATAAGGGACTGTGAGATCTCTGTGGTTAAAAATATAAATAAATAGTTGACATGTAGCTAATGTGTCGCAAAAAACTGTAATGCCTTACCAGAATATTTTGAGAAGTTGCGCACAGGTATTATTCTTTTTCGCACATCTTTAGTTTCCTTGTGTTGATACATTAAAACTATGGAGGGAGGACTGAACTGCACTCCACATCGCTTTGCTTCGAAACTCATTTTCAGGTAGTTACTGCAGCGGTATACTTTCAAATAGTCTTCAATTTAAGTCTAGTGGTAAAAGACTAACATATTTTAAACGTTATACATTTTAAATTGTACGCATCTTGACAACGAGCTTCATACAGCTCTAACGCGTTATGGTTGCCAGGGTGCCCAACGGTAGTTAGACTCGAACCTATCTGTCTTGGCTGCAGCCTGTCTAAATTGAAATATAATACCCACATTCTTATTATTTTAATCAGCATCACGTTTATGATTGATATGTTATCGTCGCCATACCCTTTTTGATACTTAATTATTTAATCAGAGTTTTCTCAGATTGACCGTTTTGTTTTTCTTTCTAGTCAGGCGCTATTTTAGCTTCCCTTTAACTACTGAAGGGTCCTTCAACATTCTTTTCCGTAAACAATTTGAAAGAAATGCTGGGCATTTTTTGTATTTTAGTTGTAGCCAGTTCAACAGAACACAGGCTGTAAACTAATTGTTGTAGTTTACCATTATTATTTTGGATGTATTTTGTGCTTGTGTCTGTTTTGGCTTGTTTAGCGTCATGTCATTGTTTTATCGAAAGGGGTAAGGTATATTGATCTGTGTAGACTTTCTAGCTTTACCGGATTAACACTGATACGTTTTGTAACCAAAGCATTGAAAGTAAAGTGTCTGGCAGGATAGGCAACTGACAGCCAATCAGGTGGAAACATTTTTAAAAAGTCGAGTCCTTTGTTCTTTTATTGATTTCGAGTAATTGCTATAAAGTTTGAAATTAAAAATGATTTCCCTGTCCCTTTGTGTATAACTGTAAATCCACTTTTATGGCATCTTCATCTATCACAAGGCTTTAACCGAACTAACGAATAATGCCAGACATAAATGTATTATGACTGTTGTTGTTGTTGTTTTAATACTAATAATAAGTCTGCTCTGTCAGGTCTTGACTAATAAAACCTACATATTTTTATAGATGAGAAGAATGAGAACCACTGTGGTCTTCTACTACAGCACTGGATTGAATCCTCACTGGTTTCAATGGAGATAATCAAAAGGGGTTTTCACAGGTATTGGCAAATATGAAATTCTAATCATATTAAACACTCATTGTAAAAGTAATAAGTAAGTGATTTCTGATTTAGGGAGGTTGAAACCACTGTTGAGCTCAGCCCTGATGTGCACAGTGGGGTCAGAGTTTTGCTGCTTCATAGATGGCCTAGAGGTGTTTATGTTGATCCCTACCAACTTGCATCCCTCAGCGATCTAAGTGATTGGAAGGTACATTTGAGATGGGCTTGACTCACCTTTATTTATGTATTAACATAGCACATTTGTGAAAATCATAATACAATCCATGTTCATGTACAAATTTCTTTTTTTATTAATGTGATTATGTATGCATTCACCTCTATTAGATAATACTAGATTCAACCATTGACCTAGAGGGGCCTGCTCACAAGACTACGGGATTTGTCACCTTTGTTTATCCCACCCCTGATGGACCAACTCCTACACTGCTAAAAGTAACGATTCCCATACACGGCCGTTACCACGAGCCTTCGTTTGTTGGCGAAACGTTTACGTCAGTCGACATAGAACCTCCAGAGCTGCTGCTGTGGACTGAAAAATGTGAGTCAATGAACTTAACTTTGTTCTGTATTCATGCTCATCTCAGAAACTATATAAACAATATTTTAAGATATATTTTAAATTGAGGTTTAGTGTATGTACCAATAATGGACTATTAAAGGACCTTCCTATTCTCTATTTTCCTATCAGAAACATTGGATGAAAAATACAGTTGATAGAGACAGTCTTGTCTTAATCTTTAAATTGTTCTCACTTAAAGGTATGCCGCTTAACAATGTAGAGCCTCATGATGTCATGGAAGCCCCCTGTACTCACCACAATTCAAGCTCATGTCAATGGGTTAAACAACAGCATCAGCAAAAGGTATCATTATGTAAATCTCTCCCAAATTTTAAGTGTAAAAAAGTCTATTTTATTTCTAACCTTTATTTTATACTCATTGTCTATTGCTGCTTTCCTTTTAATTTAATATATTGTGTCCTTTAGGAGCGAGGCCCTGCGAGTGTCCAGTTTCCAGTTGGTGACGGGTCTTTGTGCGGGCCTGTGTGTGGTGGAACTCTTCTAGTCACAATGCTCTGCTGTGTGGCACTGTCCAAACACATGTGGGAACATTGCATCATTTAAACACTGATGGTCAACATATCTTGTGTTGAATAACTCATAATACTATAATTATGCAGTTTTGTCTGATACCAGGATCATGGTACATGGTATGGCCACAAATCCTGTTAGGCTGTCTTTATCCCAAGCAAGGGTGTCACTTGTTAGAAAAAGTGTTTACTTTTACAAAATTGGTCTTTTCAAAAAGTGGTGGGGACATGTACCCAGCGTCCCCAGAACAAATTACGCTTATGATCCCAAGAGCAAAATAACACTATTTTAAAATCTGAATAATAAAAACAAAGTATCTTCTCTCTGTCTATATTGTTTACTCTCTCGTGATTTTCATCTTAAACTAAAGATAATTATCATAGTGTGTTGACAATGAAGTTATAAAATGGCAGATGGAAAGTATGATTGCAGGGTTATAAAGCTAATGGAGACATCACTACCGATAAGGTAGTTAGAAATAATTGTTTCATATGCAGCCCTATAATACTTAATATAAAAAGGGTTTGATCTTGACATGATTTCGATAATACAGTTTAACATCACAGCATTTTGCTTTGTGATGTCAATGGCGTGCAATAGCCATATGTATGGAGGGCATTATATCACATGTTGACTGCTTAATGTCAATTTGCATACGGTCATAGCATTGTTATGATTTAGAGATTAATGAATTCAAATATAGCTTGCAGGAATTGTTCAAAGGCATTTCAGGGCCTAGCTGTTATATCTTTAACCTCAACCTTGATTGAATATATCAATCAGCCTTCTTTTCACATATTGTAAATGTTGAACTACATTACCTAAAATGCCTTGCGGCCTAAATCAACCTCTAACTTCAAGTGTTAGGTGTTTTAATGTATTACTCGCTTTTAGTATTTCCAATGGTCAAACACGTGTAAGTAAAGCTCTGAGTGTTAGCAGTAATGTTTGGAGACATTCCACACACCATTCATGTGAAACATTTATTGAATATACTGGGGCTGGGTCGGTGGTTCCGCTTCCCCTTCGCCATAGCGGATTTATCCAAGGACCGAAAAGATAGAAGAAAATGTGCATTGTAAATAGTTGTAGCAACATTTACTAACATATCTGTACGCGTGTCATACCACCAAGGGCCCATGTCACAAAGGAAGTACTTTATAACGGATTTATAAACGTTTTCCAATCGGATCGAGCGACAGTCAAATTATATTCAAGTTATTCTGGTGTGGATTATCGGGTGAGTTAGCCTGCAAATAAACCACATTTGTACCGGATAATGTGTAGCATATGTAGTGTTGTTTTAACTATATATTGTCAATTTTAATGTGTCAGGAGTAAACCCATAAGTGTGGTTGTCAGGCTTGTAACCATTAGCCAAAACGCTGATCTCGTAGGATTGTAAGCACAAAGCTTTTCATGCTAAGGTTAGCTTCTAGCTACTAGGCTAGCACACTTGTTGGCCAAGTAGTTCATGCTAACGTTAGCTTGCTAGCCGCCCCAGTTGTTACTAATTTGAAGGGCAGGAATACCGTTATATGTGTGAATTGGTCTGAACATCGATATGCTGACATTTCTTATCATTTGACAAAAAGCACTCATGTTTACGCGTTTGAGAACTGTGTGAAACGAACAGTGAGAAGGGCAAAGGGCATTATTCTTGTATCCTCATCTATTCTTCTGTAGCCACATAGGACACAACAGAGAAAACACTTGGATAAAAATGCTCTCTCTGTACTTCTGAAACTAATAGTATAGTAGTTGTTTAGATATTAATAAGTTTGGACAAAAAAGCTGTGGATCTGTTTTAGTTTAGCTAACAGTCGGCTTTCAGATAACTTCAAACCTCTCACCCCGATTAACCTTATTTGAAAGACAGACCAAACTATTATTTTGATTTAAAAATCGTTTCTGGTATGCTTTCTCTTATGAGTTTTTATCTAAATACTTTAAGAAGGGACTAACTAAAGTTGTCAGATACATGTGGTAAAAAATGTGTCTCTTTAATGTAGTGGATTAGAAAGTGACAGAAAATGGAAATACCCGAGTAAAGTACTTCAAATGGTTACTGAAGGACGATACTTTAATATATGTACTTAGTTACATTTCACCCCTGCTAAATGAGAGGAGACTATGAGCATTCCAGACAGTGTGTATGGTTTCTCTTTGCGTAGTATTTTCTGTCTCTCATTAGATTAGTGTGTCATGTCAAATAGTCTGGTGTTTCCCCTCACTCATGTATACTATTCAGTTTATATTAGTGTGGTTATTTGATAATAAGTCACCACATACTGCTATATTTGTTATTTTACATAGTCGACTTCACTTCTTTTGTCCCCTTTCACATTTGTTCTTGTGATTGTGCTCTGGGTCACTGCTGCTATTAGAACTTTAATAAGATATTGGTCCTGATGTTGGATGGGTTACGGATCTTCCTGTGTTAGGTAACCTAAACAAAATATGACTTCCATTGCATAGTTCATATCCTAATATTACTTTTAACTCATCCCAATATTGCTAGTTTCCTGACATTCCCAAAAAACATGTGTGTGATCCACAAGTTTCTCTTAACACATTATGTAGCAGGATTGTTGTTTAGATTAAATCATCATACTTTTAGTCTAGTAGTACTCAAGAATCTGGTTAAAACTGAATTATTTCAATGTTATGTAGTTAGAGTTTGCTTGTTGTACCCTTGCGAAAAGTTGTACCCTTAAAAATGGCCTTTTTGCTGCAATTATTACCCCTTTATACTTATAGCATGTTTATGGTCTGATGAATGTCTAATTTTGTTCCAGGTACCCTTGGATGCTTCCTCTCAATTCGCTGTCATTTTCCGCCCCTACATCTGTAGTGCATGACCACACCAGAGCCTCATGCTGATGTGAGCGCTGCCTCACCGCCTCTGTGTTTGCCATCCTTACCGGCCGTGCTCTCCTGCCTTCGTAGCCCTGTGAGGCTCACAACAACCTTTAGTGATGTGTGATAACGGAGACGCTGAGGATAAACCCCCTGCCCCTCCAGTCAGGATGAGCAGCACCATCTTCAGCACCGGCTCTGGAAAAGACTCCCTCTCAGCCAACCACAGCTCTAAACCTCTGCCATCTGTGCCTGAAGAGAGAAAACCTCGCAACAAGATCATCTCAATCTTCTCTGGGGCGGAAAAAGGTCAGATATTTAGCGTATTTTCAAGTGCGTGATTAGTTCAGATTGTGTGTGTTGTGTGATTTCACTAAGGGTTTGGTCACTTTCAGGTGGTAGAAAGAAAGACCGAGACAAAGAGCGACCGGAGATCTCACCACCTTCAGATTTTGAACACACTATACATGTTGGGTTTGATGCTGTCACGGGGGAGTTCACTGTGAGTTTTTTGCTGTTTGTTGTTCTTACAAATATACTGGCAATTTGGCACATATTATCACCCAAAAGACACATTTACATCACAAGTCTGCACTATTTTGACACCATGTGTTCTTTTCAAAGGGTATGCCAGAGCAGTGGGCTCGACTCCTCCAGACCTCAAACATCACCAAGTCGGAGCAGAAGAAAAACCCACAGGCTGTGCTTGACGTTCTTAAGTTCTACGACTCTACAGGCAACAGTCGTCAGAAGTACCTCAGCTTCTCATCTTCTGGTAAGGCTCCAAGTTTAAGTCAGACATTAAGTTTATTTAGTTACCTGCAGGACATTAGGAAATGTGTTGTTAAAAAAGGGGTGTATTTCGTCAAACAGGATTCTAGGTACAAGTTTATTATTGCCTAATAGTTTACTCCTGAAGCAGAAGCCTTTGTCTTCAAGCTGATAACACATTTTCCTTTTTCAAAGCAAAGAGTTTGATCGATATTATTACTAAGGAGTGACCAGTCAGCGTAATGAGTAAAACATTAAAATGTGTAAGCCAAAGTTAGTCTTTGAAAATACTTCTTAATCTGTCACGACTAATATTATTTCTAAGTGTCCCTCTGTTTGTTTTTATTGACAGAAAAAGATGCATTCACTCCTGGGCCTCAGTCTGTAAGTATATCAAAACTATTAAAGCACACATGCCTTTTGTATTTCTTTCTTTTTTTCGTTTCGATGAACAACCTTTCTTCCACTTTAATTAAGCCCACCAAGAAAGGCACAGAACCCTCTTCTCCGAATATCAAAGACATTGACGACGATGACGACGATGATGAAACTCCTCCACCTGTTGTGGCACCAAGACCAGAGTACACAAAGAGTGTAAGTCTCCTGGGTTTAGTAATCCTGACTGCATATTGATCATATTTTAATTCAAAAATCTGTATTTCATAGCTTACTTGCTAAGGCATTCTTTGTTAACCTACAAATGTATTTACTGAATTGTTTGTCTTTGTTTTGTTGTGCAGGTGTATACACGCTCTGTTATTGACCCCATCCCTGCGCCCAGCACGTGTCCAGACGGAGAAACTGCCTCCAAGGCCGCAGAAAGACAGAAGGGCAAGAAGGGCAAGATGACGGATGAGGAGATCATGGACAGACTAAGTAAATTATAAATGATCATAAATCTTACGTACAAATCCTAACTGTTAAATTATTTGCATAATTTGTTGCTGTATTTCTTCCTTTACATATATTATTTGCCTTACAGGAACGATAGTCAGCATTGGAGATCCCAAGAAGAAGTACACCAGATATGAAAAAATTGGTCAGGGGTGAGTGCCACGCAACAACCAGATGTAATGTAGTTTCCAAAATAGTGTTATTAGGTGTTACCAATGTACAGTAAAAGGATGCCAGATATTACTGGGACTGAATATTTTTCCTGTGATCATTTAATCCTCTAACTTCATTTAAAAAAACATGTTTTGAGCTAGCTTTGTGAGATACATTTTTTAGCTTTATAAGTGTCTGTATATGAAGCCAGTTACCTCCAGAAAGATAATAACTATCCTATAAGAATATCCTAGCAGTATTTTCATTTGGAGCTTATGATTTGTTTAACATCAGGGATTTAAAAACCTAATGGATATACAGACCAGTTTGACGGTTTGTTAAATGTTCATTGAAGTAAATGGCTTATCTCATTTGTCTCACAGAGCATCAGGAACAGTATTCACAGCCATCGACGTCGCCACAGGACAGGAGGTAAAGTGATGTTTAGATTAGGAGAAGTAAAAAAGACAGTAAAGTAGTGGATATCACAACACATTATGGAGCACCTTCCTCCATGTATAGAAGAGGAATCAAGTTAGCACACTGACTACCTATTTAAAGTTAGCTGAAATGTGTTATCTTAAGATACCTATGAGTATGTTGAATTGAGCAAGGGTTTGCAACAGTGACTAACTCAATTCTAAACCTCTGCTCACTCTTGTATCCTTTTTACAGGTGGCCATTAAACAGATCAACCTACAGAAGCAGCCGAAGAAGGAGCTGATCATCAATGAGATTTTAGTGATGAAGGAGTTGAAGAACCCCAACATCGTCAACTTTTTGGACAGGTAAGAATGAAGGAAGAACATCTTATCACAAGTCTAAAAAAAACATGGTTGGACACCAGTGTATGACATTGTGTATTTGTGTATGTCAGTTTCCTGATGGCGGAGGAGCTGTTTGTGGTGATGGAGTATCTGGCTGGAGGCTCACTGACAGATGTGGTGACAGAGACCTGTATGGATGAAGCCCAGATAGCCGCTGTCTGCCGAGAGGTACCCTGAACTATTAACAACCAGTGTTTTATAAAAGAGACCAAACCCAAGTCCCACTTTATAAGGTGATATCTATCTTTCATACCTTTCTGGCATTTCACTGTGGTATACGGTATAGAAAAACATCCCTTTTTTTAGGCTAGTACCCCTGTTACTCCTGTTATATTGTTCTTAGAAAAACTGGTGAAAAACACGAGTAACAAATGCTGGGCGCTGCATTTTTCATCAACAAAATGGTGTGTCAACAGCAAGCCAAATTACTCAGAGCACTCAAGGCCAAATTGCTTCATAAGTTACAATATGACTGGTTGCTGACAAAGCAATGTAGCGAATCTGGTGCAGTGCTCACTCCATAAAACAAACGGGGTTAGTTATAACTGAAATTGGTCTAATTCAGCTGAAAACACTTGATTTGTAAATACCTCGTTAAAACCTTGATGCTGTACAAGCCTAAACATTATGTGTGAGTTGGAAGCAAAACAAAACTTGACTCTTAACAATTTTTCACTCTCTGTCTCTCATTTGTTTCCATACCTGCAGTGTTTACAAGCATTGGAATTCCTGCACGCGAACCAGGTCATTCACAGGGACATCAAAAGTGACAACGTGTTACTTGGAATGGACGGCTCTGTCAAATTGAGTAAGTCCTATACTAATACATCTCTGTTGCTTCACTGTAACTCTCATTAACTGTATTTACTCTTCTCCTCGACAGCCGACTTTGGCTTCTGTGCCCAGATCACTCCGGAGCAGAGCAAACGCAGCACCATGGTAGGCACGCCTTACTGGATGGCTCCGGAGGTGGTGACCAGAAAGGCTTATGGGCCTAAAGTAGACATTTGGTCTCTGGGTATTATGGCCATTGAGATGGTTGAAGGAGAGCCTCCCTACCTGAACGAGAACCCACTACGAGTGAGTGTGAACCTTTTCAATCCTCCCGGTTATTCATCTGTTTTTTCATGTTTACATAACATGTTAGGTTCATTTCCAACACTTTGACCTTAAAGGTAGGGTAGGTAAGTTTGAGAAACCGGCTCGAGATCGCTAGAATTTGAAAATACACAACCGGAGAAAATCTGCCACTTCCTTATAGAGCCCCTCCTCCAACACACACGAACACGCACATGACCAATGAGGGCACGAGATAAGTTTGTGCACAGATGGAAGGCTGACAGGCAGGTAGGCCATCCAGTTATTTTAGCCGGGCCGGCTAAAATGATTGGTCGTGCTTTTTACAGTACTACGGCTTCCACATATGACATTTTTTTATGGATTTTTTGTCAAAGCACTTAAGATATTCATTGCTATCGGGATCAAATCAAATCAAATCAAACAAATAAAAGGATTTTAAAATCAATTCTGAACCGAACTGGAAGCCAGTGCAGTGAGGCCAGAATTGGGGTGATGTGGTCACGCTTTTTGTGGCCAGTCAGCAAACGTGCAGCTGCGTTTTGGACTAGCTGCAGGCGTTTAATTGAGGCCTGGTCCATACCCACATACAGAGCGTTGCAATAGTCCAGTCTCGAGGTTACAAAGGCGTTGATAACCCTTTATAAGTCATTAAAAGATAAATACGACTTGGTTTTGGCCAATAGTCTTATTTAAAAAAAGCAGGATTTGACTACGGTGCTGACCTGCTTGTCGAATTTAAAAGTGCTAGTGAAGGTCACTCCAAGGTTCATGACCGAGGGGAGGATGTTTTTATTGAGAGAGCCCAGAATATCAACCGGAGAGGCTGGAGGTTGGGGTCCAAAAAAGATGACCTCAGTCTTGCTCTCGTTGAGGTTGAGAACGTTTTTGCTCAGCCAGGATTGGGATGTTAAGAGCATTACATGGAATATAACAAAAAGTGTATCTCGAGCTGGTTTCTCAAACTTACCTACCCTACCTTTAAACTCTCATAATTGTCTCATCTGTGCTTGGAGTAAATTTGTTAAAAAAAGTCATTTTGACATGAACACACTGCTCTCTTCATATCCTCGCTCAATTATTGATTTCTGTAGACCAGTTATTAGATGTCACATACAGTTTGTTTGGGTTTATTTTACTCTGCTGCCATTATGTGCTTTAGAAAAGTTAAGCGGTTTGTGCTGACTGTGAATGCTGGGCTGGAAAAAGCACTGTAACTATGTGAGAGAGCTGGTGTACATTGTGTATGTTTGGGTGTGGCAGCAATGTCTTCAGGGTGTCAGATCCGGACACTATTGTTGTACTCAGCTCTAAGTATGGGAAAACAAAGATGCCGAGTCTTGGTATAAGGTTAAGACAGTTTAGATTTTTCAGGAAAGAAAATATCAGTGTACATCAGACAAAATATGTGAAGTCAAACTGTCCTCTCCTTAATTGTATAACACTAATAAAAAACAGATCAGGCCAGGTTTGATTTGCTTAACTTGCTGCAAGTATGTTATTTCCTGCAGGCGGATTGAATAGTTTTATTTTCCCCTTTGGCAGGCATTATACCTGATTGCCACAAACGGCACACCCGAGCTTCAGAATCCAGAGAAGCTGTCTCCGATCTTCCGAGACTTCCTCAACCGTTGCTTGGAAATGGATGTAGAGAAAAGATACGGAGGCAAAGAGCTGCTGCAGGTTAGAAACTCTACTTCTCATTGGATATTTTCATTGAACCTGTCTTGTGTTTTAATTGAATTATTCAACGGTTGATCTCTTTTTCCCCTCCTTCAATTTCTCTTTGTTGATCTGGTGTGCAGCATCCGTTCCTGAAGCTAGCGAAGCCTCTCTCCAGTCTCACACCTCTCATCCTAGCATCCAAGGAGGCCATGAAGGGCAACCGTTAGCTGATGAAGCAAGCTATCCTGCCTTCCCATGCTGTGCACGGATATGTGCCAACCATTTAGATTTTGTGCCAGACAATAGGCTGAGAGTGACTTTCCACTCTTGATGCACCAGCCTTATAAGCCCTGACAAACCTCACTGTGAAGAAGACCAAAATTATAGAGCACAACTCCACCGCTGTCCATATGAACTCTATTCTCACTCAGATGTCAGAAGACCAGTCAAACTAAAGTGCTTAGTTTCAGAGTCCGGCGTAGTTATTTTGTACAACCAATCTCCTGGTGACAAGTTAGCGCTAGGCTTGTATTTAACTTGGAATGAAGAAGATGCCTAGTTCTTTTTTTAGTTTTTTTAATCAACTGCCTTAAACAAATGCAAAATGTTGCCTAATGTATTGTTGATTGTGTCAATGTTTCTCTTCCCATGATTTTTACTGCCTTTGTAATTTACCTTTTCAGCTTGTCAGTGTCTTAGTTATTTTGATACTTGAATTTCATATTTGTCCCCCTCCTTGTTATATAGTTGGTCTCATTCAATGAACACTCTTGCTATTTCCACATTGAATCGTGTTTTTTGGACATTTTCTAGTACCAGTTTTATAGGAAACATTTCAGTGCAGTAGTGTCGTCATGAACATGTGCTGTGAGTGTGTCGTTTTTCGTTTGCCACACGTGACAGACCTACTGTACCAGTTCTTCCTCTGTATCATTAGTCTCCTGATACCAGAGGTGCACCTTACAGGCAAATTAAAATGTTAGATTGACAGGGTTTATACTTTCTTTATTGTTGTTATTAAAAATTAGTATTGTATGTTGAACTCTGTCCTGTCCATGCTCTTTTCCCATGTATATAATATGTACCTAAAGTTAGTTTGAAAAGTGTCCATATCATAGTGGTTAGCTGTAGAAGGCTAGTAAAGACAATTTGTAGACTGTTTTTGTTTTGTTTTCTGGATGACTAACAACCTTGCAGCGCACACAAATAAATGCAACTGTTTGTGCTTTTGTGATTTGAGACTGAAAGTGATTGTTGTGCAGTATTACTTTAATTGATTTAATTAAACAAATAGAACACTAGACAAATGTATATAATGTTATGCATTCTTTACTGTATCTAGGAAGTGGAACGAATTAAGAACTTTTGTTTTCATTGATAGCTTTATGCCTATAAAACATGATTATTTACAGACTGCGATGATACGACTTTAGGAACTTTTTTTGGTAGGCGTGAGCTTTGTCGATGCCTTTATTTTGGAGGTTTTTCCCGGAAGTGTATCAGTTTGACTTCAGGCTGATGTAACTCAGTGTAGCAGCTATAACGACTAACTACTACAGTTTCTTTCTAATATTTTCTGTGTAATGGCACTACAACTGAAAGACAAAGATGCTTACCAAAGAATGAACTATCTTTACCAGGTAGGAAATGCATAATAAAGCAAAAGTTAATCGCTGTCGTGAAGCCAATGACCGATCCTCCTCACGTGGCTAACATGTTAGCTTATTTGCTAAGCAAGCGTGTAATGATTTTCTTCCACCGGTTTTATCTCTACAGGCTGCACATTGTGTTTTATCACAAAACCCGGAAAATGTCGAGCTGGCTCGTTTCTACTGCTTCACACAGAAGACAATTGCAAGGCGTTTAGTTCTCAGACAGTAAGTTTTGCTCAATATTATCTAGTTTCACTCTCTTGCCTAGATTGATTTTATTTTGAAAGGTAATGATAGCAAGGCGCTGCCACTTCAGAGCATAGATTTACAAGAAGATATGTAGAAATCCTCAAGATATAACTACCACAAAAACACAAAATTAAACCGACAATAGTTTCACAAATGTGTACAAGTCAGCTTTATAATAATGCCCTCTCTTTGTTGGGCTATATTAATCCTATCCATTAGTGTTCTCTTCAGAGAAACACTAGTAGGCCTGGAATACTTTCAAAGTAATTGTCCCTCTAAGTCATATTTATTATTCCAAAAGTGATTCCAGAAAGGCAGAAACCAAATCTATGATACATTTTTAAGATTTTATATTTTATTGCAGAGACCCATCAGTGAAGAGAACATTATGCAAGAAGTGCTGCTCACTGCTAATCCCTGGAGTAACTGCTACAACAAGACAAAGAAGTGAGTGTTCATTATTTATAGTGAAAGTCCATGTTTACCATGTTAACTTACATTGCTTACCAATGGTTATCAAATTGAAGATTTTTTTCTAAACAGTGAATTTATTAGTTAAAAATGTGTATGTGTTTGAAAATGTATGAACCCATTATAGACATGAACCTTTTGTTGATTTTGTGTCATTAGGAAAAAACAGCAAAACCCGGTTTACTGTTTTGCGTTGCCTCAGCTGTGGGCAGAGCAAGACTTTACTGAATGATCCCAATCACTGTTTATGGGTGGACCGTCCCGAGGCTCTAATGGAGCAACAAAAGCAGCCAGGTGATGAGCCTCAACTCCACATTTTACATCAGCCTAACAGAAAATGGTTTCCATTGACATACTGTGTTTACCAAACTCACGGTATTCACTTAACTACAAAACAGTTATTTTCTAATATGTTTCAACTCCCATTGAGGAAATAATGATTTAATCATGTTAACAATTGGTACTGACCATTATTTATTCTTTCTCACTCACAGATCAAGGCCCTTCCAATAAAAAACAGACGAAAGGCAAAAGACCTGATGGGCCTGTGTCTTCTAAACCCAGCGCTGCCAAGAGCGATGCAAAGAGCACGTGACAGCGTCTTAAGATACGAAATACCTGATATTTATTGTCTTTAAAAAAAAAAAAGATGAGTCCCCAGACTTCTAGTTATTTTAAGGATTTAGTTCCTTTTGGCCTCTGTGAGATCATTTTCTGCAGTGTTTTTGTCACAGAGCGATTTTTGAAGCTACCAATAGATGGCCACCATGTTGTGTACACTTTAAGAAAGAAGTGTGTATTTTTTTTTTCAAATGTAAAACCTCATATGTGGTAATGATTGTATTAAAAACTGCAAACAAGAATGGAAGAAATGAATTTATTGGTCATTATTATATTCTATACATAATATTTTACATTTTCTGTACAGTCAAATATCTTGTCCATTAACCATTTGTTTTCAGGAAATGTCCTTAAAGGTTGATTGAAGGGAAAAAATAAAGGGTAGTTTCTTTCACTGTTTCTTCTTTTCTGCTTTGTCCCCCTTTGGTACTCGTGTCTTCTGACGTGTCTTCTGAGAATATAGTAGGTTCTTGGAAAAGATCCTTGGAATATGACCCATGTACAAGAAAAGAGCCAGAATCATGCCTGGAAAACAGATACAGTGTGTGAACAGCATGTTTACTTTAAAATAACTCTACATGTTTTTCATTTTAATCTAATATACCTGTGAGGGAGCCCAGCCAATAGACCACTGCATACTCAGTGAAGGTAAATCCAGGACAGTGGAAGGTGAGGCCGTAGGACAAGGAGGGACTCATGTAGGCTGAGGTGTAGCCTCGGGCTGCAAAAAAGAATGGACAAATAAAGTTAATGTTATTTATTAAACTAACTAAAGCATAATGCCTGAAGGAAAGTAGAAGCCAAAACATAACTCTTATAAACTACCACTGGAAGCAAAGAAACAGCTGCTTGAATCATGACTAATACCAAGATGAGGTACAATTCAAGTCTTAAACTAGAGTAGTGAATAAGCTGTATGTAAGTAACAATCCTAACCATTTTATAGCTATTTTAGCCAAATGTATAAAGATGCATCACGAACAATATAATTATTGACTAACGTCAACTAGAGGAGACATTTTAGTCAGGCTATAATTAAAAGTAATTAACTTGTCTAACAAACAAAATTATCAGAAACCATGTGATCTTGGCCTGCACCCATGAAGTGTGTGACTGCTATATTCATTTTTCATTGCGTTCCTATATTTCAATGATTTTTTTTCACTGTGGGTTTTAAATTAAAATGTTTGTTTTGTATTCAAGTAATTTTCCTCAAGCAATATTCACAAGCATAAAGGTACTTTGCATGAGTGGAGTTTTATGACTTTTTTTGGATCAATGAAGGGCCACGTTCACCCAGAACTTACCTGTATGGGACAGGAAAGTGAGGAGGACTGCGATCAGCGGCACCCGGATCAGGGCTGATCTGCGTTGCAGGTTTAGAAGGACTAGATGAAAGATGAGCGTGCAGACACACTCAGTGAAAAAACCTTGAACCAAGGAGACCAGCAGAGATGAGCTACACTCTCTAGCCATCAGGTTTTTGATCATGTGCATGTCTGTCAGCTCCAGACTCCAGTAGTAAAGAGCTACAAGAAGCGCCAGGTGGGCCCCAAGAAACTGGGCTGCAACAGCAAGGAGAGTGGGTAGGGTGGTGGCCTCCCGCTGCAGGAACTTCAGCACAACCAGGGTGGGATTCCCTGACGCACTTCCACAGATAATACCATGGGTTAACAACACCACAAACCGAACGGTTAACGTCACATCAGGACCCAAGCCTCCGGCCCACTCACCCACATCTACAATGGTCTGCACCTCCAACAAACATGCCACCAGCATGAAAGAGGAAGCAAACTCCAACATGAAGCTTAACCTTGGCCATTTTTTAAGAAGTGTTTGGACTAAGGCTGCAAAAATGGCAGCAGACACAAAGTATCCGAGAGATGCGTTCAGTCCAGACATGGCTCAGGTCATCTGTCCCCTGCTGTTTCTGTTCCAAAAGGACTGAATGGGGCTTTGACACCACAGCTCTGCAGTGTGTTTGGCAACGTGGCACATGGAGGGACATGCTTCTTATCAGAGAAACGTCAGGTTTTAATCCCACAACCACCTGCCAAAATACACATGGACCTCGACACAAGGTCAGGTCAAGATGTTGGCCTTCAATTGCAGGTCATTTATAATTATATCACACGTTTGGGTAACTGCTTCCTTCATATCTCTACAGGATAACATGTGCTCCTACTCTAAAAGTTCTTTATTCTATGGGACTGGATGGCTGGATACTTATTCAATTTAAATGACAACATATCCCTAGTGGATTCAAAGGTTTAGGAATGTTGAAGGATACAAGCTTTTTTTTGTAGCCCAGTTGTCCACTGCACACAAATACATTTTATAAGCAGTCTTCATAAAAAAAGAGTGGAACATTGCATGAGAAATTGTTGGTTTGGGTGAGGCGAAGGATTAAGTGAGGTCAGAGTATCATGATTCGTTTAAAGAGCCGGAGGAATCTTCTTTAGAGTCATCTCTTAGTTTTTTCTGGATCTCCTCCACCTGGCGCTCTAAATCGATACATTTCTGACAGAAGCCATAATTGTTTTTTATACAATTGTTTTCTCCTTTTACTTGAGCATCTGTTTTTTGTTTATAGACTCAAGCTGAAAGGACATGTCCTACTCCCACTGCAGTCTCACAGTCTCCAGGTCTGGTTTGCTTGAGACAGAGCAGAGACGGTGTGGGTGGAACAGATAACAGCTAAAGGACAAGATGAAAATAATGATCTTGTATAATGCGCTATGTTCCTGTACAATTACTCTGTTTTGAGCACTAAATTCTCACAGGATGAGGAAAGAAAATAACAAATGTTCCCATATTCAAAATTAACTAACCAAAATAAATTATACTTTGTATGATAACGTATTCTCTGTTTTAAGACAACTTTAGCACAGAAAGTATGTTTCAGGATGAGATATCCCTGAAATCACAGTGTTGGGTCTGTGTTTCATTAGAGGAGGAATGCAGGTTGACCCTGACTATGACCATGTAAAATCTGATGTAATTTTACTATATCCACTAAAAAAACATAGTGGACTCCTGGAAAGAGGACCTGTTCCCTATGGCAATATGAAGAGCTCCTTCTAAGATAACCGAATCACGGAGATCCTTAGTTTAAAGTGGACCTATTATGCCATATTGGAAAAATATATTGTAGGGCCATACCTATACAAAATATGTCTGTGAAGTTGTTTGCTTAAAATACCAAACAGTTCACCCATTGTAGCCATGCCTCATACTGCTCATACCCCTCTTTTGCAGCCCTGTTATGGCGCATTTCCACTACACGGTCGGCCTCGGCCACACTCGGTACGGCTCGGTACGGCTTGGCCGCGTTGGGCCTTAACAGGGCCGACTCACTTCATGCTGCGCTTCCATTACAGTTTAGGAACTGGGGTAGTTACTATAGTAACGCAGTGTAGGCGGAGCCGTGACGTCATCTTCAATGAGAACTCCAGAAACACAACACAGCCGTTAGCTGTTAGCACTCAGAGCTCACAGCTCCTTATATATGTTCAGAAACTCGACAAAAGTTAAACAAGTACACACCACAGACTGCCTGTGTCATGGTGAATACAGTCGCTGCTTTATTTATGTCTGTATAGACCGTTGTTGTGAGTGTGGACGGTCAGAGCATATACTGCGTTAGCTTAGCCAATCTCCATCTAGAAAAACACGCATTTTAAAAGGTTTTTTGCCTGCCGTCTGTCTGCAGACTTGACAAAGCATTAATTCATGGTTTTTACTAACCGGTATCAGTATGTTGTTACTTCGGCATCATTTTGAAACGTGTATTACAATTAAATCACGGTCAAATATGTCCATCTTGTTGTAGTTCTAGCCCTCTTGCCAGCGCTCCTCTCTCTAGTTTAGCATACTCAGCCCGACTCAGCCCTGTTTGTTGGCCCCGATAGAACCACAATTTTGTCGGGCCAGAAAAGAGGTGAAAAAGTGGCCCCGGGCCGGGCCGGGCCGGGCCGTAACTAGGCCTAGTGGAAGCGCAACCAAAAACGGGTACGGCACGACACGGCACGCTTAAAGCGAGCTCCGCGCTGTAGTGGAACTGCGGCATAGAGAAACGCGGATTTTGGGTCCTTAGCTTGAAAAACAAAAAAGAGGAGGCGGAGCTAATGCCTGATCAGAATTCTACTAGAGATAAAGTTAAATTCTGCTGTGATAAAACGCCATCCTGTTCTAAACCACATCAAAGATTATTTCTGAAACAGTATGGAGCTCAAATGCTTTTTCTCTTGCGGGTTTATCACAAGGTGAGTTCCTTTTTCTATTTCCTGCTTTTTAAACACATGTGCTCTACAGTACAGGTTAGCTCTGAGTGTTAGCGAGGCTTGCTAATGTGTCCAAAACACGTCAGGCATTGTTTCTGATAGCAATTTTCTGTGGGTCCGCTGTCGATTTGACGTCAGATCAGCAGCAAATCTGTATCCGCTCGTTGTACCCCTATTTTAAAAAGATTTGGGTACGGAGGAAAAGAGAGAGGGTTTTATTTTCTGACGCTGCGTGAGTTCCCCGACGCACCGGGGACACATATTTATGTATAGAAGACATCACAAAGTGCATTTTGCATGATAGGTCCCCTTTTAAGTAATTACCAGAGATGGAAATAAAGTTATGAATGTTATAATCCAATTCTGCAAGGGCCTGCTATGTCTTCCACAACCTGGACCTTTAACCAACTTCCCTCCAGTTCATCACTACCAAATATTCATTCACTTTTCAGAATGTTATATGCCCCTAGTTTTTTTGTTCTTTTTTCTATATACTCAATGCATTTTTTTTACAGTCTGGGATGGGTTTATGATTAGCAACAACTTTGCATTTCCACTTTGCATTCATTTTCTCATTGGGGCTCAATCTGGGCAACTATAGTAACAACAACAATTTTTAGCTCAGGACCCTAATAAAAGCCTGTTATACAATGCATTACTTTATGTTGTAATGGCCATGGGATCAACCTATGTAGTTTTAATGAGTTTCAATCAGGTTTCAATTGAGAAATTGTTTAGGCTCTAGATCAGACCGTCAAAGAGCATCTGGGTTTTGGGTTCTCAGTTTATTATTATAGTAACTAGGTTGAACTTCCAAAATTCGAAAAATAAACCAAAAATAATGCCAACATATATTGCCATATGCATTAATACAGTCAAAGTGATCCAACATAAAAAAAAGGCAAAAATGTCCCTGATGATTATGATATTTGATTAAAATACAGTAGAATCCAATTGGT